ACCTGAGCCTGAACCCTAGCCCTAACCCTAAACCTAACTTTAGCCCTAATCCTAACCCTAACCCTAAAAAAAATTTTTTTTTTAGTTAAAAAAAATGGACTTGTCTTTATTCCAGTCTGGATAATTTGGGAAAGGTGAGCAGAGAGGAAATTTGGAAATAAAATTCCCCTTCACATAGCAAGCTCTGAAGATCACAAAAAGGTTACAGTGAGGATGGGAGCAGGAATATAATGCTTACCCACTGCTGGGGTGCTTGCTACCCTAAATTTAAACTTGGCAACGCCCTCAGTTGTCTTTCTGCCAACAGGCTCGCTGACACTTTGTGTTTGGTGCTCTGTGCACTAACTGGTTATATCCAACTTTACTTCCAGTTCTTCTTCTGCTCTCTGTGCTGTGTGGTGTCCTCGGTTTGAAAGGTCATGGTCATCAAATTAGAACATCGGAGGTTGGTAAGCGGACATTTCAGGTAAATGCCTGGGGGGAAACTTTTGCAAGAGGAAAATAATTATTATAACAGCAGCTTGGGCACAATCCTAGCGTTGGACATATATTAAATTCAGCATTAGCCCTGGCCGGTGGCCACCTTTTAACATATTTATGTTTATGTTTTGTGTTTACTATCCACTTCCCCTCACTCAAGTTGAAACCCCATGAGGATAGCAACTTTGTTTATTATCTGCTGTAGCTCAAGCACCAGGCCCATAATAGGTACCGTGTTTCCCCGAAAATAAGACCTACTTACAGGTTTCCTTCTGAGTGAAATATAAGGCATCCCCCCTGAAAATAAGGCCCCCCTAGGCTAACATGAGAGATTTGGTCCACTGATTCTGAAAGAAATGGAGTCACAAGAAATTCACCAGGAAGTTCAGGAATTGGATTGTTATGATGATGTTCCAGAAGATGATGACATGATTGTCATTGAATAAATGAGTAAATTCTTGATACTGTAGGTTTCACAGTTTGTCTGGTTTGTGTTGACAACTACCGTACTACCGTACCGTATACAGGTAATAAATTTCCTTTATTTTCATTTAACAATAAATGTGTACTGTATTCTTCTTCATGGAAAAATAAGACATCCCCTGAAAATAAGTCCTAGCATCTTTGGGAGCAAAAATTAATATAAGACACTGTCTTATTTTCAGGGAAATGGGGTAATAAAAATTAGTTTAAAAGAATGGATGAGCCAAAACTGGTTTGGTTCAGTGCATAGATCTTCGGCCTGTGGACTCAAGGGTCCCAGGTTCGATTCTGGTCAAGGGCATGTACATTGGTTGTGGGCACATCCCCAGTGGGGAGTGTGCAGGAGGCAGCTGATCTATGTTTCTCTCATTGATGTTTCTAACTCTATCTTTCTTCCTTTCTCTCTGTAAAAAAATCAATAATATATATATTTTTAAAAAGAATGGGTGAATGAACAAATGAATAAAAGACTTGCTTTGGAAGATCCAATTTATGAAGCTGTTAGAATATCTAATTTTGGAATATCTCAGCATTGATTTTTTTTTTCCTTCTTCCTCTTTGTTGCATTCTATTTGAGTTCAAATCCCATACCTGTTGTCCAGAATTTTCTCCATCTGCAGACCATATGGTCCCTGTGCCCCAACCTTCTGTATTTTCACTAAACCTGAATCTCATGGAATAATGTTCACACCTGGGCCTTTCTGGGCCATGACAGCTCTGCAGGTATTATATCAGCCGAGACCTGGCTTTCTCAACCCCGGCACAGGTGGATCCAGATCACGCTCTGCAGCGGGGACTGTCCTGTGCATTATGGGATGTTTGACGTGTCCCTAGCCTCCATCCACTAGATGGCACGGCCCCACCCCTATCCTTCCTACTAACAATGCCTCCAGCCTGACAAATCCCCAGGGAAAAAGGCAGCCCCAGGAGGAAAGCCACTGGGTTTAATGTTCTTTGAGGATTACCAAACCCACATCCTGGTAAATCTCAGATAGGGCTTTTGGGGTTCACAGTTAAACTAGGAACATTTTCTTTTTTGCCCATTTCCAACCGAATCCAAGTGCACACAATAGCCGAAAACGTCCCCTAGTCACGCTCAGAGACAAGTACTGCACCAGTCCCGTGATATTCTGGCCAAAAATGCCTAAGTGAGGAGGAAGCATCAGACAAACCCAAACCGAAGAACATTCTACAAACACCACCCCTTGCTGAGAGATTCCTAGGGCACCTCATGATTAACCACAACTGCATGACTCTGAAGTGGCCTCTTCTGTCCTAAAGGACATCGTTGGGCCATCGGTGACACGTCATCGGCGCTTGGGCATTGGATGGTCATGTGGGAGCAGATGTGCTCCTGGTTTAGACAGCTGTACGTTGGTCCTTGGGTTTCGGAGACACACTCAGAATGCTAAGGGCTGATAGGCAGTGCGTCTGCAGAAAACTCTTCAGACCGCTCAAGATGTGTGCAAAGGGAGTGTGTGCTCTGGGCAAACGTCTGAAGCCTTTAAAAAAATGGAAAATGATTTGTTCAACACCTAGTCACTTGGCAGAGTTCGAATATGGACTATCTCTATATATAAAAAGCCAGCAACCAGAATGCCAGAACGACTGGTCGCTATGACATCCACTACGATCTGCAAACCAGCCCAATCTGGAGGTAGGGCCGGCTGGCCAACCTCCTACAGCCCCTTCCCCTGTCAGCCCCACGATGGGCCCCCACTCCCCCAATTGGCCCACGGCCCCTCCTCCCAGCCAGTTCCGCCCCCAATTGACCCCCTACTCTGATCAGGGGCAGAGCCAGCCAACCACCCATGGTCCCTCTCCCAGGTCACTGACCCCCAATCGACCCTCCCCAGCCCTGATCCACCACCCACAGCCATCACCATGGCCAGCCCCTCCCCCTGATCAGCCCCCACCACCCTGACCAGCCTACGGCCCCTCCCCCCAGGGTCCCAGGTTCGATTCCAGTGAAGTGCACATGCCCAGGTTGCAGGCTCAATCCCCAATAGAGGGTGTGCGGAAGGCAGCTGATCAATGATTCTCTCTCATCATTGATGTTTCTCTCTCTCCCTCTCCCTTCCTCTCTGAAATCAATAAAAAATGTATTTCTTAAAAATAGCCCATATGCTGGGATCAGCCAGGCCCGGAGCAGCTGGGTCGGGTGCAGCCAGGCCCGGAGCAGCAGCTGCCAGGCTGGGAGCTGCCAGGCCGGGAGTGGCCGGGTCCGGAGCAGCCGGGCCCAGAGCAGCAGGGTCGGGTGCGGCCAGGCCCAGAGCAGCCAGGTTGGGAGCAGCAGTGGCCAAACCAGGAGCAGCTGGTTGTGGAACGGACCAGAGCAACAGAGGCCAGGCCCGGAACAGCTCGCTCCTCGCCTGCCTCCACCCCAAGGCTGCCTCTCAGACATGGCTGGAAACTTTTGGGGGAACTTGAGGGTCTGCTGAATCAAATGAGGAAGGCTTAGATCTGGATGTGTTGAGTTAGTATAGCGCTGGGGTGTTGATCTTTGAGTGCCTTGTGTGGGGTCTGAATGAGGTTGGTTGATCTATTTGGAAATGTCTTTTGTGTGAAGTGTATCCCTGGGCATGTGGAGGTATTATTGATTTGAGAAAATGCTAAGTAACTGATTTACTATCTGAAAAATTTAAAGTTCTGAAAGTTTAAGGTCTCTTGCCAAAAAGAGGTTTTAAAGCTAACACCTTAATTTTAATGGAGAAAGGGAATGACAAGCCCCTCCCACCCAGAACAGGTAATCCAATTCCAACCAGCAGCTATGTTTAAACAATGTGTCCATTTACACTTGAATGGCTACGCCTTTGGATAGCCTAAGGGCAAGTTTACATGTAAACAAGTTTGCTCTCAATTCCCAGGGCAGAAAAAAAACAAGGTTTAAAATTATTAGATTTTAAAATTTATTCTTAGAAGTGCAAAAGTTTATTAATTTAAAAAAAAAATAACAACAACAACAAAAAAAAGGAGATTGAAAAACCTGATGAACAATAATAGCGGTTCATTGTAGTAGAGTCTGCGATATGGGAGGGGAGTGGACTGACTGTTTGGGAGGGGAGTGGACTGACTGTTCTCGGGAAAGGGAGGGAGGAAGAGACTGAACATAAACTGTGCACCTATGGATGAGGACAATGGGGGGTGGGGAGGAGGCAGAGGGTGGGGTGGGAACCTGGTGGAAGGGGGAAGAAATGAGGAACCTTTGTAATAATATGAACAATAAAGATTGATTTAAAAAAATAATTAAAAAAATAGCCCATATGCTGTGCTGTTGTTGGGCCAAAGACCCCCCTGGTCTCTGGTCCTGACCGGTGGCGACCCCGAGAGAGAGCGCCGAGAGACCAAATTGATGCAAACGCAAGAGGCTTTATTCGAGCGCTCGGTCTCACAGCCTGCAGTCACCAAGGGTGAGTGCTAGCTGGAGCCCCGAGCAAGGGGAGGGGTACAGCTTTTAAAGGCAAAAACCACACGCAGGTGGCCAAAAATTTTCCATTTATGTAACGGTTATATCCTGTAGCTGTTATTTGCTCAAACCCGCAAGATTAGCCAAGCAGATAGGTTGTTTTGCAACCCAGGACCAAGAGCATTCTGCAGTTAGGGCGTTAGGTTCCTGGAACTGGGGCAGGTAGGTTAACGGGGGGCTGGGAGGTTCAGTCTAACATTCCCCCCTTTTGTTTTGGAGAGTCCGAATCATCGGACTCAAAGGGTGGTCTCGGTGTCTAGGGGTTGGTATTGTTGTTGAAGCACTAGCATGTGGACTGACTGAATCCTGTCTCTGACGAAAGAGACCAGGCGGTTTAGGATGCACGGCCCAACGGTTAGTAAGAGAATCAAGATTACCAAGGGGCCCAGGAGCGAGGATAGGAGAGTAGTTAACCATGGAGCACTATCAAACCATTGCTCGAACCAGCTTTTTCTGTTTTCTCTTTCTTTTTGTCTTGTTTCTAATCTTTCTCTGAGTTTAGCCACGGAGTCTTTTATTAAGCCCGAGTGGTCTGCATAAAAACAGCATTGTTCCTTGAGTGCAGCACACAGACCTCCTTCCTTCAGAAAGAGAAGGTCGAGCCCCCGCCTGTTCTGGAGGACTACCTCTGATAAGGAAGTGAGGGATTCTTCTAGTTTGGTGATGGATTGCTCTATATTTTTTAAGTTTTCATTAATGGCTATTTTTAATTCTTCTGTATACCTAGGGGCCTGGGCTAGGAGTAGGGGCTGTTATCTTCTCTCGGATCTCTCGCCCAGAGAGGACTGGATTGGGTCCTACCTCAGGGGAAGGTTGGTAATCACGAATCTCCAACCGAATCCAGAAAAGAAGACCATCATCATGGCCGTCTTTATATAATCTAAGTCCCCATTTCTTCCCTGCCACCCAATGGTATGATGCTGTTGCTTTTCCGGCTGAGGTGAAAGAGATGTTTAAGGTGTTTATCCATCCTCTAGCCTGGCTGTTCTGGGTCCGATTCCTTCCCACTTGAATGAGATCCCACTGGGGTGGGTTCTGGATCCAGTAGCCCGTGCCTGAGGTCTCGCACCCCCACTCTGCACAAAAGTACTCCCGTTCCCCTCCACAATTCTTTCTATGCCCCAGCCTGTCTTTGGGACATATATAGAAGGGAGTACGGGCTAACTGCTCCCTAACCCACAGATAGCTACAATGTACCCCATATCGTAAGTCAGCTCCGCGACCTATGTAGTCGCGGCTCTCTTGTCCCTCTCTGGTTTCTTCTGCCTCAAGAAGTGGTATATCCCAATGTCTCGCCCCAGCTGCCAGGGCACAGAGATCTGGTGTAAGGTCGGGCCACCAGGTGCCGGGAGGGGCCACCCTCGTTATGGACCAGATAATCTTTCCCGTGTGACCAGATATTACCTTCCAAGTTAGTCTTTTGGGAGCACGAGGGTTGCTGCTGATTTGGGGGATACTTAGGAGAAGGAGGCCGATCAGAGCAAAGCTGAAGGTTCTGGTGTCTTTAGGGGGTTGGATGCGTAGGGTTGGAGCGCCTGTAGACCCTGAGTCGGAGGGGGTTGTCTGTCTTCTCCGCGACCCAGCCATCTGGATCCTGGTCGGGGGCTTTCTTGACATGCGAGGAATGGACCCACGCTGGAACTCCGTCGACCCGGACAGCCGTGGGTGTAGTCAGGAGGACAACGTAGGGGCCTTTCCACCTGGGCTCTAGGCTGGCGGTGCGGTGGCGCCGGACGTAGACCAGGTCCCCGACCTGAAACTGGTGTGGAACACGAAGGTCCCCTGGCTTATAGACTTCTGCCAGGGGAGTCCATACTTCCTTCTGCAGGGACTCGATGGCTTTCAGCCTGGCCAGGAGAGATTGGGGGGTAGAGATAGAAGGGTGACTATCCCAGGGATCTATGGCCAGGGGTGGAGGAGCTCCGAAGAGGAGTTCAAAGGGGGTCAGACCAACAGAATTCGGGGTATTTCGGGCTCTGAAAAGGGCATAGGGGAGGAGGACCGTCCAGTCTGTCAAGCCAGTCTCTATGGATAATTTGGTCATGGTCTCTTTTAAGGTTTTATTCATCCTCTCTACTTGCCCTGAACTCTGGGGATGATAGGCACAATGTAATTTCCAATTAATCCCCAGTATCCTGGCCAATTCCTGACTTACCTGGGCGACAAAAGCTGGTCCGTTATCAGACCCGATTACCTTGGGTAGTCCGAACCGGGGGGAAATTTCTTCTAGGATTTTCTTGGCCACTATCATCGCAGTCTCATGCTTGGTGGGGAAGGCCTCAACCCATCCTGAGAAGGTATCTATGAATACTAAAAGATATTTATATCCATATCTGGCGGGTTTTACCTCAGTGAAGTCTACTTCCCAGTACACTCCCGGTTTATCTCCTCTTTCTCGCTTTCCTTCAGAGATGGTGGAGGCTTTTGCGTTGACTAGCTGACAAGCACGGCAGCTCCGGATGACTTTCTCCAGGGCCTTGGTCAGTCCTTGGAAGTGATATCCAGTACTGCCACAGATTTTCCTGAGGTTTTTTTCTCCAAGGTGGGTGATCCTGTGAAGTTGGGCAAGGTACTCGGCCACCGCCTCCCGGGGGACAACCGGCTTACCTTCCGTCCGGGTAGTCCAGATGCCTTGCTTCTTTAGGAACAGATCAGGCTGGCTGGAAAATTTGTCTTCCTCTTCTTGGGAGTAGTGTAGAAAAGTCGGCTGGGGAGGCTTCAGGGGCCATGCCGTCAAGGTCCGAGGGCTGCTCCTCGGGCTGCTGCGTCGGCTCGTCTGTTCCCTTCTGCAACCTTAGACTCTCCTTTCTGGTGCCCGGGGCAGTGTATAATGGCTAGGCGTTTAGGTGCTAAGACAGCGTCTAACAATTGTAGGATCTCTGATTTGTTTTTGATTTCTTTTCCTGCCGAAGTTAGCAGGCCTCGCTGTCGGTAGATGGCACCATGTACATGTGCGGTGGCAAAAGCATATCTACTGTCAGTGTAGATATTGACTGCCTTCCCCTCTGCTAACTGTAGGGCCTTAGTGAGGGCGATTAGTTCTGCTTTTTGGGCCGAGGTCCCTTCGGGGAGGCTACTTGCCCACACCGTATCTTGAAGGTTTACAACTGCAGCACCTGCCTTCCGTTGCCCATCTAGGAGAAAACTACTCCCATCAGTGAACCAAGTGTAGTCCGCCCCCGTCAAAGGGGTGTCCTTCAGGTCTCTCCGAACCCCGGTCTCCTCTGCTAGGATTTCGAGGCAGGGGTGTAGGACCTCTTGTCCTTCTTCCCCTTCTGTGGGCAGGAGAGTGGCCGGGTTAAGAGTCACAGGAGCCCCGAATGTAATCCTTCCTTCATCTAGGAGTAGACTCTGGTAATGGGTGACCCTGGCGTTGGATATCCAACGGTCAGGAGGTTGACGGATGATGCTCTCTAAGGCATGTGGGGCAATGACAGTCAGCTTTTGGCCCAGAGTTAGTTTATCAGCGTCCTTGACGAGGAGGGCAGTGGCCGCTATGGCCCGGAGACAGGCGGGCCACCCTCGAGCCACAGGATCTAGTCTCTTGGAGAGGTAGGCCACAGGCCGCTTCCAGGGTCCGAGAGCCTGGGTCAAGATCCCCCGGGCTACCCCTTTTCTTTCGTCAATGTAGAGGGTGAAAGGTTTCTCTACATCGGGGAGGGCCAGTGCTGGGGCCGAAAGCAGGGCCTCCTTGATGTCTAAGAAGGCTTTTTGGTGCTCTTTTCCCCAGTGAAAGGGCTGCCCTTGCTTGGTTAGTGGGTATAGGGGCTCTGCCATAGTGGCAAATCCTGGGATCCACAGGCGGCAGAACCCGGCTGTTCCTAAGAACTCTCGGACTTGGCGAAGGGTCTGTGGAGTGGGGATCTGTAGGACGGTGGCTTTTCTCTCTTCTGTTAGCCACCGTTGTCCCCCTTCTAGGGCATACCCTAGATATGTGACTCTCTTTTGGCAGATTTGAGCCTTTTTGGCCGAGGCTCGATATCCCAGCTTGGAAAGTTCGGACAGGAGGCCCCTGGTTCCCGCCAAGCACTCCTCTTCTGTGGCTCCCGCCAGGAGGAGGTCATCTACATACTGGAGGAGAGTCACTTGGGGGTGTTCTGCCCTGAACATTGCTAAGTCTTTATGGAGAGCCTCATCAAAGATGGTGGGGGAGTTCTTAAACCCTTGGGGTAGCCTGGTCCAGGTTAGCTGCCCGGAATCCCCCGACTCCGGATCCTTCCACTCGAAAGCAAATAATTTCCGACTCTCCGGGTGGAGTTTGAGGCAGAAGAAAGCGTCTTTAAGGTCCAGGACCGTATACCAGACATGACCCGCAGGGATAGTGCTGAGGAGGTTATAAGGGTTTGGAACAGTAGGATGGATATCCTGAACCCGCTTGTTGACCTCTCTCAGGTCCTGGACAGGACGATAGTCATTGGTTCCTGGCTTTTTGACTGGCAAGAGGGGGGTGTTCCAGGGCGATTGGCACTTGACCAGAAAGCCCAGGCCCAGGAGGCGGGTAATGTGAGGCTGTATTCCTTCTCTAGCTTCTCTGGGCATTGGGTACTGGCGAACTGCTATTGGGGTGGCTGCTGCCTTTTGCTCAATGACTACCGGTGGTTGTTGGGTAGCTTCTCCAGCCCCAGCAGTCTCTGCCCACGCCCTAGGAAATTCCCGTAGCCAGTGATCGAGGTCAGCAGGGGTCTTACCGGTTGACTGAAAGAGCCGATGTTCATCCTCTAGACGGAGAGTGAGGGCCATCGGGGGTCCCCATTTGGTAGTGGGTCCTGCCGGGGTGAAGGTAATCTGGGCCCCCAGCTTGGTCAGAAGGTCTCTTCCCAGGAGGGGAGCGGGGCACTCAGGTATGACAAGGAATGAGTGAGTCACTTCTCCCCGGCCTAGGTCAATGCTCCGGGTAGTGGTCCAAAGGTATTTCTTATGTCCGGTCGCCCCTTGGACCAGGGAGGCTCGGCCAGATAGTTTTCCTAGAGGCCACTTGAGGACTGAAAACTGAGCTCCGGTATCAATCAGGAAATTAACTGGTCTCCCCTCCACATTGAGAATTACCCGGGGCTCGGGGAGGGGAATCGAGCCCTGACTCCCCTAGTCACTGTCCTCATGGAGGGCAAGCACCGGATTTTTCTTGGGCTTCTGGGGGCATTCGTTCTTCCAGTGTCCTTTTTCTTTGCAATAGGCACATTGGTCTCGGTCTAGCGGAGGTTTGTTGCCGCCCTGGCGTTTCCTTTTCTGTCCTTCCTGTTTCTTTCTCTGATTTGTTTTCTCTCCTACCGCTGCGGCCAGGATACGAGTCAGTCGTTTCTCTTCCCGCTTCTCTCTCTGTTTTTCTCGTTCCTGCCTCTCCTTCTCCTGTCTCTGCTCCTTCTCTTCTTCTGTCTCTCTCTTATGATAAACTTTCTCAGCCTCTTTAACGAGGTCCTTGAGAGCTAAGTCCTGTAACCCGTCCATCCTTTGTAATTTCTTCCTGATATCCGGAGCTGACTGACCAATGAAAGCCATAGCCACCGATGCACTATGACCTTCAGATGTGGGGTCAAAAGGGGTGTATCGGCGATAGGCCTCCATTAACCTTTCTAGGAACACTGCCGGGGGTTCCGTGGCTCCCTGTATAACTTCCCTCACCTTGGCCAAATTAGTGGGACGATGGGCATATCTCGGAGACCTGCCATTAGAGTCTGGCGGTAGACCGTCAGTCGCTCCCTACCTTCTGCATTATTAAAATCCCAATCAGGGCGGGCTAAAGGAAAGGCAGAATTTATGAGATGGGGGAGTTGTGTCGGGCGCCCATCCGGGCCCCGAACATTCTTTCTAGCTTCCAGGAGAATTCTTTCTCTTTCCTCTGTAGTAAAGAGGGTCTGGAGGAGTTGCTGACAATCATCCCAAGTGGGTTGATGGGAAAACATGAGGGACTCAACCAGAGCGGTGAGTTTAGACGGGTCCTCAGAGAACGGAGGGTGGTTGGTTTTCCAGTTATACAGATCAGAAGAGGAGAAGGGCCAATACTGAAAGGGGGGGAGAACCGGGGTACCGTCGTCTAGGGGAGGCGGCGGCGGGCCGAGGGGGCGAAGGGGACAGGCAACCGTGGAATCGGGCGAACAAGGAGGCTGGGTCCTCCGGCTTCGCGTGTGCTGCGAGGGACCACCCTGGGCAGCCTGGACAGGTGGAGGGGCCGGGGGAGCCGAAGGGACCGGGGGCAGGGGAAGAGGTCCTGGGGCAGGGGGGAGAGAAGGGGGATAGGGAGGGGGTGGATCAAGGAGGAGAAGGTCAGTCTGCGAGTCGGGCAGAGGCGTCTTCTGTGGGACTCTACGAACCTGTGAAACAAGAACCTGGGACTGGTTAGATGGAGAGAGGAAGGGCCGGACCCACGAAGGAGGTCGCTGGGCCAGGTCCTGCCAGACAAGAATATAAGGTTGTTGATCAGGGTGACCAGTCCGGGACTCGAAAACTCGGGAGAAAACCTGGGAAATCAAATTTAGGTCAAAAGAGCCATCAACGGGCCACCCGACACCAAATGAGGGCCACTCGGCCGAACAGAAAGTTTGCCAGGGACCCTTCTTTACATTAACCGAGAGATCAAAACCTCGTCCCCGAACCTCTTTCCAATGATCAAGAGTCACACTCAAGGGAGTCGACTTTCCCTGGCCCATGTCGGACAGAAAGAAACTGAAACAAATAGTGACAGAAATAATACCACAACCAAACACAAATCCAGGCCACGGCAGGCCTCAGTCCAACCACAACGCAACGGGCGACGGAGTCATAAAATACCTGACCAGAACAGACGGAGATGACCTTGGACAAGGATCAATCTCCCCAGCCCCGGGACGTCTCCCGGGGGCAACGGTTTTTGAGAGTCGGACCCCCTGTCCGACCCAAAGACTGCCCTCTCTTTCGACAGGCACAGTCCCGTTGGTACCAGAATGAAAACCGAAACCAGTCGCCTGACACAAAGACAACACACGGAGACAGACAGTCGGCCGACACAGAACTCACCTCCAAGATGGTCTCGGTCGTCTCTGCGGCCGCCACAGATCCCGGACGAGCCTCCAAATGTTGGGCCAAAGACCCCCCTGGTCTCTGGTCCTGACCGGTGGCGACCCCGAGAGAGCGCCGAGAGACCAAATTGATGCAAACGCAAGAGGCTTTATTCGAGCGCTCGGTCTCACAGCCTGCAGTCACCAAGGGTGAGTGCTAGCTGGAGCCCCGAGCAAGGGGAGGGGTACAGCTTTTAAAGGCAAAAACCACACGCAGGTGGCCAAAAATTTTCCATTCTAATACATAGGTTTCTTGTTATTCTAGGTTATGCAACGGTTATATCCTGTAGCTGTTATTTGCTCAAACCCGCAAGATTAGCCAAGCAGATAGGTTGTTTTGCAACCCAGGACCAAGAGCATTATGCGGTTAGGGCGTTAGGTTCCTGGAACTGGGGCAGGGTAGGTTAACAGGTGGGGGTTGGGAGGTTCAGTCTAACACTGTAAAGCAAGTCCCAGTAACTTTTTAAAGACTATAATCATACAGAGTATGATCACAATAGAATTAAACTAGAAGTCAGCAACAAAAAGATAACTAGAAAATTCCCAGTTGTTTGGAAATTTAGCCACATAGCTCTGAAAAATCAGTGAAAATTAGAAAACATTTTTAATTGTGTGATAATGAAAATACAACATGTAAAAAGCTGTGGGGGTATAGCTAAACCAATAACTAGAGGGAAATGCATAGATGAATGCCTTATTTTTTTTTAAGCATAAAATATTGTTTCAAGACACTAGTTTAGAGGCTCTTTTCTCACACAGCAATAACTTACTGCTACAAAAAAAAAAAAAAAACTAGTATTTACACTGTATTCATTATGTGCCATGCACAGTTCATCTAGCAGAGTCATTGAAACTTCTGAGGATGCTAGAAGAAAGATTGATACTATCATGTCCCCCTTTTCAGACCCGCATCTAAACAGCCACAGAGGTGGTGTGAATAGCTAATTCAGAGCACAGTCAGAACCTGAATTCAGATGCACTGACCCCAGAGTCTCAGTTTTTAGCCACTGGGCTAGACCGTCTCTTAAAGGAGCAGGTTGGCAACTGCAACGTTGTGATACGTGCTATTGATTCACAGAGAAAATAAGAAAAAACTTCTGAAAGGAAGTGAGGCTTGAAAGAGATTATCTAAAGGGTAAACAGAAAATCAAGGCTCATGAGAAGGTTGTACACAGGCCCGTTGGCCTGAAAAGCAGCACCGAGTTCAGTGTGGCTGGCCCACTCTCCATTTCCTCCTCCCCGCCCCCAGCCCCTGGCCACCACTAGTGTGCTTCCTGTCTCTATACATTGCCTGTTCTGGACACTTCCTATAAGTGGAATCACGCTCTCTATAACCTTTTGTGTCTGACTTTTCTCACTGGATGTAATATTTTTTTAATATATTTTTATTGATTTTTTACAGAGAGGAAGGGGAAGGATAGAGAGCTAGAAACATCGATGAGGGAGAAACACAGATCAGCTGCCTCCTGCACACCCCCCACCAGGGATGTGCCTGCAACCAAGGTACATGCCCCGACCGGAACCGAACCTGAGACCCCTCAGTCTGCAGGCCGACGCTCTATCCACTGAGCCAAACCGGTTTCGGCTGGATATAATATTTTTAAGGTTCATCCATGTTGTAGCCTGTATTCGTACTTCATTCCTCCTTATGGCCAAATGATATGCCACTGTGTGGGCGGACCACATTTTCTTTATCTATTCATCTATCGCTGGCATGTGTGTTGTTTCCACCTTTTGACAATTGTGAATAATGCTGTGATAATGAAACACTAATGACAAAGCTTTTGTTTCCAGAATACCTGTTCTGATTCTCTGGGGCAGATACAAATTAAGTAACCAGTAGTCAGGTAGAATTTGTGTATAAGTTCACACTCACCGAGCAAATTAGAAGGAACGGGTAAATAAAAGAACTCCCGGTGGGTGGGCAGGTCTCCTGTGCCCTCTCCTACGGGTGTCATGAGCCAGAATCTGTAGTGCAGCCCTACCTCCAACTGGCCAGAGCCTCAGCAATAGAGCCTTTCAGACACACACACACACACGCACACACGCACACACGCACACATGCACGCACGCACACACGCACACACGCACACGCGCACATGCGCACGCGCACACGCACACACGCACACATGCACGCATGCACACATGCACGTACACAATGGAACTCCAGGCCACATCAAGGCTAGCACGCTGAGAGGACTCAGCACAGCATATGAATGAAAAGCTGGAGGAAACACAGGATTTACAGTACCGTGCCATTTACACAAATGGTTTGTGGAGCCCTCTAGAGGCTGGAGATGTCCTATGTCTATGATCCTGATCGTGGTTACATGGTTGTATTATACACATGTGCAAATATTCATTTAGCCAAACACTTAAAATGTACGCATACCCTTAACTGGTTTGGCTCAGTGGATAGAGCATTGGCCTGCAGACTGGAAGGTCCCAGGTTCGATTCCGGTCAAGGGCATGTACCTTGGTTGCGGGCACATCTCCAGTAGGGGGTGTGCAGGAGGCAGCTGATCGATGTCTCTCTCTCTCTCATTGATGGTTCTAACTCTGTATCCCTCTCCCTTCCTATCTGTAAAAAAAAATCAATAAAATATTTTTTTTTTTAAAATAAAATAAAATGTATGCACAGCCAGACCAAATTTTAGCACCAGCAAGCCTTGCCTCGTCCTGCAACTTCTTCACCCCCAGCGGTTAACTGCCCCTCCTCATCCGGGGCTCCCTGTCCACTTTAAATATGCCATCATTATGTGTAACAAAGACCGGCAAACCTTTTTCCTTAAAGGAGCGGGCAGGAGATATTTTTAGCTTTTCAGTCCAGAGAATCTCTGTTGCAGCGACTCAACGCTGTCAGCTGCAGCGTGAAATTAGCGATAGATAATGCTAGGCAAACGGGCTTGGCTGTGTTCCAACAAAACTTAATTTTCAAACACAGGCGGGGGGTCCTAGTCTGCAGTCTCTGAAGCCTCTGATATATATACCGCGTTGAAATGCTTCATCTGTCTCCTCTCTCAAGTGTAACTTACCTTAAAGGCAAGGACAAGTTTTTCCATTCCTGTGTCTTCACCATCTGGTTCAGTGACTTGACAAAATAAATGATTGTCCGCGAACAAATCAATGAGTGGTTTATTGTTTACTCCGCTCAAACCTAAAGGAGAAGAGAGAGGAAAGCAAAGTTGAGTAATAGGAGAGTGCAGCCCCACACCACCCACAAAACACCTTCCAAGCATTCCCCGGACGATGGGGTTTCTGGCTAATTGCATTCCACTCACATTTACTGAGCACAGGGCTTTCTTTTGGGGTAACAAACATTCTGGAACGAGGTAGAAGTTATGGTTGCACAACACTGTCAACGCACTAAATGGCACTGAATTGTTCATTTTTAAATGACTAATTTTATGTTTTGTGAACTTAGCTGCAATTTTTTAAAGCAAATAGGAAATGATACACACAAATTTGAAAACGTTCTTAAAAAGAGAAGCAAAGGCTCCCTCTGGCGGCCGTGTGGAGAATAGACTTCGATGAGGCAGGAGTAGAATCTGGTTAGCCCTATTATTTCTTTAATATGTCTTGAAGGGCACAAAATATCATATCTCAGAGCTACTGGGACTGGTTAGCTTCATTAGTCTTGGTAAATCCCCAGAAATAAAGGTGCATGGGGCAAGCTTGTGGTGTTCGCAATTTGATCATCTCAGACCAATGCACCCTCATGTTAGGATCTTGTGGCTACACCCACAGAGCACTGGCTATGTACCAAGCATCTGGCTGTGCATGTGTATACTTTGTAATAAACCAGCAATAGTAACTGGTAAGCCATTTTCCCTGAGTTACATGAGCAATCGAGCAAATTATTGAACCTGGAGAGGGGGTCATGGGGTCTGCATTGAATCGTTGGACACCCAGTTGGTATCTGAAGAGTTGGGAAATTGTGGGGGCGGAGGGGTTAATGTGAAAAAACACACACATTTGATGTCAAAAGTGTTGAGTAAAAACATTTCAGTAGTGACCTAATTTAGAAATAAGGTCTTTGTAGTAACACCAAGTTAAAATAAGTTCATTGGAGCGTAGGGGGTGCTAGCCCAATATGACTGGTAATCTTTTTGTTTTTTTAATGTATTTTATTGATTTTTTTTTTTTACAGAGAAGAAGAGAGAGGGATAGTTAGAAATATCGATGAGAGAGAATCATTGACCAACCGCCTCCTGCACACCCTCTACTGGGGATGTGCCCGCAACCAAGGTACATGCCCTTGACCGGAATCAAACCTGGGACCTTTCAGTCCGCAGGCCGACGCTCTACCCCCTGAGCCAAACCGGTTTCGGCATGACTGGTAATCCTATAATACATTTCAGAGAGAGACAGATGTAAGGTAGCCGTGTGAAGACGGAGGTAGACATTGAAAAGATGCTGCTAACGGCCAAAGAATGCCTTTGGCTACCAGAAGCGGGAAGAGGCATGTGCTCTTGACAGGGAATCAAACCTATAATAGATCTCATGATTCCTAGGTCGGGCTAGTGTTGTATTTCAACCAATGGGCTGAAACCTGATCTATCTAATCAAACTGCACACCTACGCCCTCATTTGCATAGCTGCTAACCAATCAGAGCTGCTCCATAACAGCCAATCAGAGTGCACTAAGCTGACTCCTACCCCCCAGAGGAGAGTGCTAGTTGGACCAATCAGACTCTGCAGATTTGGATTCCTCCTTAACAGGGGTAAGGGAGGGGATTTTCTCTGTAAAAAGCAGCCTCCCCTTTGTCTCCACGACACTTTGGTTTCTAGTACGGGCTGTGTTTGCCCAGTTTGCAAACTGTTTACCTTAGTAAAGTTCTCTTCTCACCACACCCCAAACTGGGGGCTCCTGATGGCATTAAGTTTGTGGCAGTGACCATTTGTTTACAACATCTATCCACTGTGTTTGTTCAAAAAATTCAATGACCTAGTCCTTATCCTCAAGGGGCTTACAGCCTCTAACCATCTCAAAATCCACTCCCCTTATTCCTTTAGTAATACAACCCCTGAATTGTATCTGGACACATTGTCCCCCTAACTAGAAACTACATTTCCCAGGAACCCTGGCAGCCAGATGTGATCATGTGATTGGGGTTTAAGCAAATGTAAGAGCAATTTGAAAGTCATCTCCTTAAACACAAATCGACTCGTCCCAGCCTTCCTTCTCCCCCTTTCTTCCAGCTGAAACTTGGAAATGGAGGCAACCAAGCTCCTACCTTGTGTCTGAGGACAAACCAGGGAAGAGCCACAGGATGGGAGAGTCTGGGTTCCTGAATGACCTAATCCAGCCAAGAAAGAGGACTGATATCTGAGAGATCCTCCCTTCCCCCAGCTGGTGGGCGGAGTATGGCGTAACCTGCACCTGTGGCCTGGACATACCTGAGTACCTAACCCGCCACCTTATATGGACTACACATTGAACCACCAATCAGCACCTGCCAAATACCCTAAGCCCTTGTCCCTAAGTACCTGAGTGATTACCTATGTACCTTACATGGACCGTACATTAAGTCACCAATCAGCGTGTGCTGAGTATACTAAGCCCCCATTCCTCCCCACAATGTACAGGTTGCTGTTCCCCCCTTGCAGGTCCCTCTCCTCTAATAAAGCTTGTAGTCCTAGTTTTTGGCCTCTGTCTGACCTTCCAATATCCAACCATGATCTTTTAAAAAAAAATTTTTTTTTTAATAAATAAATAAGTAAATAAACACATATTTCATTGATTTTCTACAGAGAGGAAGGGAGAGGGACAGAGAGTTAGAAACATTGATGAGAGAGAAACATCCATCAGCTGCCTCCTGCACCCCCCCCCACCGGGGATGTGCCCGCAACCAAGGTACATTCTCTTGACCGGAATCAAACCTGGGACCCTTGAGTCCACAGGTGGACCCTCTATCCAAAGAGCCAAACCTGTCAGGGCCAACCATGACCCTCTTTATACCATGTGTAATTTTAACCGAAGACTTGGGTCCATACAAAGTCTGTGGCAGGAATGAAATGGAATGACACACTACAAAAGCTTGTTGCCCTGGCCGGTGTGGCTCGGTTGATTGAGCATTGTCCTGTGCACCAAAAAGCTACTATTCATAGTTCCATTCTAAGTCAGGGAACATGCCCTGGTTGTGGCTCAATCCCCAGCAGGGGCCGTGCAGGAGGTAGCTGATGGATGTTGTGCTCTCACATCCATGTTTCTCTCTTCTCCCTTCCTCTCTCTAAAAATCAATAAACTATTCTTAAAATATATATATATCTTGTGAGCATTCCATAAAACCCAAACCCAAGTAACTGTACAACTACAATGCACAGGAAGGCAGCTGCACACACAGAAACCCATGTAACTAGAAAACGGCACCCACTCTAATACACACGTGAGAAGGCGCCCAGTGTGCACACTGTGGAAAGCACAGCCTAGGCTAGACTTCAGCCCCGTCCCCATGCCCTTAGCCAGGTGAAACCTGCACAGTCAGTCATGCCTGAAGGTCCGTGTCTCAATGCAGGAACAAAAGTGGAGGGAGGAGTCGTGTAGCTAAATGAATTTTATATAAAGTGAATCGTTTCCAGGGCGTTGAGGAAAGTTTCTATTTAAAGAAATGCTGCTGTGAACTCCTTTCTGGAGAGGAATTAGTCACCGCTGAGTCATCGGTGCAAAATTCAGATTCCAGATTTGGTCTAAGATCTGAACAGAGACATCCGGTAGATACCGTTATAAATGGCGGAGGAATCAAAGGCAAAAGTAGCAAGAAAAGTGTGACTGCCCTTGGCTGGTTTGGCTCAATGGATAGAGTGCCTGCTGCAGACTGAGGGGGTCCCGGGTTCGATCCCAGCCAAGGGCACATGCCTGGGCTGCGGGCTGGATCCCCAGGAAGGGGCGTGCCCGAGGCAGTTGGCAGACTGCGAACAGTGTGGACTCTGGGGTGAGCGCTTGGGAGGCCTTCGTGGTGGGAGTGGTCGGAGGAGAGGGCCCCTGGACGGCGGAAGAGATGGTTATGGTTATCCTCCCTGTTTTGCCGGGAGGGGAAACCAAGGCCCAGAAGAATGAAGTGGCCCGCCCAAGGGCTCAGCTAAGGCCTGGCAGGACGAGAAGGACAAGGTGCCCACCTGGGGTAACCCACACCGGAGAATCTGGGGTGGGGTCAGCGTTTGTACCTTGTCAGGAGTGAGCCGGTTGTGTTTAAATTTGGGGAGTCGGGGTGGGGGATTAAGTTGTAAAGGAAGTGCCCAGACGGTGTGGCTCAGTGGTTGAGTGTCAGGGTTTGATTCCCTATCAGGGCACATGTCTGGGTTTCAGAGCTGGATCCCCATGCAGGGCGTGCAGAAGCAGCCAATCCATGACTATCCCTCATCATTGATGTTTCTATCTCTCTCCCTCTCCCTTCCTCCCTGAAATCAAGAAAAATATAGTTTCCAAAAAAAAATTAATGTTTCTCTCCACCTCTCCCTTCCACTCTCTAAACTGAAATTAATGGGGGGGGAAAAATCCTTGGGTGAGGGTTAACAACAACAAAAAAGATAAAACTGATAGTTTTCACTAAATAGATTTTGAATTTTTGAACCATTTTCCTGTGCCAGAAAGTACATACTATATTAATTAGCTTGCCATGGAGATTCTTAAAATAGGCAGATTTTCTGAAAACTGGTTGACCCAGTTGGATTATCTGAAATGGATGGTTATAAAGGACAGTTCAACTGAGTGAAGCAGGCATTGGCCAAGAATCCGGAAATCTGGGTTCCGTCCCTAGCTCTGCCATTACAATTCTGTGGCCTGGTCACTTAAGTGCTCTAGTCTCACTTGCTCCTCTGTCAAATGGGGATATTTTGCCGAAACCGGTTTGGCTCAGTGGATAGAGCGTCGGCCTGCAGACTGAAGGTCCCAGATTCCATTCCGGTCAAGGGCATGTACTTTGATTGCTGGCACATCCCCCAGTAGGGGGTGTGCAAGAGGCAGCTGATGGATGTTTCTGTCTATCCCTCTCTCTTCCTCTCTGTAAAAAATCAATAAAATATATATTTTTTTTAAATGAGGATATTTTTATTTCTCAGAACCTGGAAATGCTCGGTTTCTGATGACATACCTTCAAACCTCACCAGACATACTTAAGCTGCCCAGGCCCTTTCCCAGCTGCTCCTCCACTTCACTTCAAATGTATTTTGTTTTTGCCAAAGCCGGTTTGGCTCGGTGGATAGAGCGTCGGCCTGTGGACTCAAGGGTCCCAGGTTCGATTCCGGTCAGGGGCATGTGCCTTGGTTGCAGGCACGTCCCCGGTGGGGAGTATGCAGGAGAGAGCTGGTCGACATTTCTCTCTCATCGATGTTTCTAGCTCTCTGTCCCTCTACCTTCCTCTCTGTAAAAATATCAATAAAATATATATTTTTTTAAATAAAAATAAAATGTTTTTTAAAAATAGGCTGCTACTCTGGCCAGGTAGCTCAGTTGGTTGGAGTGTCATCCAATACAACAAAAGGTTTTGGATTCAATTCGTAGTCAGGGGATGTACGGGAGGCTGCCAATAGATGTTTCTCTCTCTCTCTCTTTCATCAATAAAACTTACCTTTGCCGAAACTGGTTCGGCTCAGTGGACAGAGCGTTGGCCTGTGGACTGAAAGGTCCCGGGTTCAATTCTGGTCAAGGGCATGTACCTGGGTTGTGGGCACGTCCCCAGTAGGGGGTGTGCAAGAGGCAGCTGATCAATGGTTCTCTCTCATCAATGTTTCTAACTCTCTATCCCTCTCCTTTCCTCTCTTTAAAAAAATCAATAAAAAATATTTTAAAAATAAAAAAATAAAAACTTATCTTTGAATAAGGGTTAAAAATAAATAAATAAATAAATAAATAAAAGGCTGCCCAGGATGACCCAACCTAACCCCCTATAATGTAATGTCAGAAGAGCAAAAACTGCCTGTTTTGTTCTCTGCTGCATCCCTGGTGCTTGGGACAATGCTAGACACCGCATAGCACTAAACAAGTAGGTGAGGATGGGTGAATGAATGAATGGTCCCTGGCAAATTTGGGCAAGAAGTAAGATCGGTCTAAATATTTTGCTTGAGGTTTAATATTATATTTGAAATGTCTAGAAAGTGTTGGTGTATTGGACATTTTCATTTCTTTCCCCCCCCCCCCCTTCTCATTTCGCACCCGATCCTATCCGTTCCCTTCACCAGTTTTCTCACCTGACTAGGCATCTTCTCTTTATCCGGGTCCGCTCTGAGCGAGCAGCACTTTTCTGGAAGGGGTTCCTCGTGACAATCAAGGGAATTGATTACATAGGGCCCGTGTGGGGTGGGCGTGGGACAGTTCTGTGGCCCTAAACCTGACTCCTGTGTGTCCCATTCCCACCGTGTTGCATTGTGGTCTTCCTCCAGAAGCTCGTTCCTATCCTTGTGGTTTGCTGTTTGGAAAATCACCTGAATGCAGGGGAGTCTGCACGGGTGGAGGCAGTGAAGAAGCGTCGTTTGGAACTGGAACGTCACACGTGGACGTGCTGAGGCTTTCTGCTGCTGGAGGGTCCGAGTTCTGTTTCTTAGCTTCTCCGTGTTTTTACCAGAATCCGTCTCAGACACGATGAAAGAAGAGCCTGTCTCTTAAAAACTGTCAGTAGTGCCGAAGCCGGTGTGGCTCAGTGGATAGAGCGTCGGTCTGCGGACTGAAAGGTCCCAGGTTCGATTCCGGTCAAGGGCGTGTACCTTTGTTGCGGACACATCCCCAGTGGGAGGTGTGCAGGAGGCAGCTGATCGATGTATCTCTCTCATCGATGTTTCTTACTCTCTGTCCCTCTTCCTTCCTCTCTGTAAAAAAAAAATCAATAAAATATGTGTGTATGTTTAAAAAACAAAACAAAAAAAAACTGTCAGCAGTACTCACTTATTTTGGACAACATCCTCCTTTAGGAGAAGGCCCATCAGTAGTAAAAATCAGTATTTGGTCCGAGGGTGGGTGATAAGGGTAGGGGGTTCCTCTACATTCCTTTGATAAAGGGTCTCCCAAAAAATGTATACACACTTTGAATGATTAGAAAGTCCGTGTTTATTAACATACAGTTCATTTTCAAAATTTAAAAGAGCCTACAGAAATGAATAATTTCCTCACCCATGCCAGTTTTCAAACTCATGGTCATTCTGGTCCAGGCTCTGCAAAGGAATCATAAACATCAAGAATCATTTTGTTCCGTATTTGTGCGCCCTCAATTCGTCTTCTGTTGCCAGTTTTGTACCATAAACTTTATGTAGCCCCATAAAAAAAAAAAAGCCCAGTGGCACTTTAGGATTAATTTTCTGTGTTCAGAGCTTAGTCTGGCTTCAAGCATTGTTTTGAATCAGTTAAACCTGAAAAGGACTAAAAATTAAGTGAGTTATCAGCTGTTAAAGTGTGTATGCATGTTGGGGGACACCCTATATTTCAACTGTCTGTATATAACCTAACTCTGAAATATTTTTTAAAAGATTTTAATTTGTCCAAATCATGGTCTTAAGGGTGATATTCTAGACACCATTTTGTTCTTTTATGTCATTTCTCCTACAGACAATGCTTACTATCATGAATTGGTGTAGTGACAACCTTGGTGTCCTAGATGTAGACCAAAAATTAAAAGCACTGCTGAAATCGGTTTGGCTCAATGGATAGAGTGTTGGCTTGGGGACTGAAGGGACCCGGGTTCGATTCCAGTCAAGGGCATGTACCTTGGTTGTGAGCACATCCCCGGTGGAGGGTGTGCAGGAGGCAGCTGGTCGATGTTTCTTTCTCATTTATGTTTCTGACTCTCTCTCCCTTCCTCTCTGTAAAAAAAATCAATAAAATAGCCGAAACCGATTTGGTTCAGTGGTAGAGCGTCCGTCTGCGGACTGAAAGGTCCCAGGTTCGATTCCAGTCAGGGGCATGTACATTGGTTGCAGGCACATCCCCAGTAGGGGGTGTCCAAGAGGCAACTGGTGGATGTTTCTCTCTATCGGTGTTTCTAGCTCTCTATCTCTCTCCCTTCCTTTCTGTAAAAAATCAATTAAAATATTTTTTTAAATCAATAAAATATATATTTTTTTTAATTTAAAAGTTCTGATCTTGCCCAGCCTGTGTGGCTCAGTGGTTGAGCATCGACCTATGAACGGGGTTGGGGAAGAAGGTGTCTGAAGTCTGAAGTTGGATTCCCTGTTGGGGCATATGCCAGGTTGCAGGCTCAATCCCCAGTGTGGGGCATGCAGGAGGCAGCCAATTAATGATTCTCATCATTGATGTTTCTGTCTCTCTCTCCCTCTCCATTCCTGTCTGAAATCAGTAAGTATATTTTTTAAAGTACTGATCTCGCCCTGGCCAGTGTGGCTCAGGTGGTTGGAGCCTCATCCCATACACTGAAAAGTTGCAGGTTTGATTCCCGGTCAGGGCAATACCCAGCAATGGGTTCCATCCCCCTTTGGGATGAGTGCAGCAGGCAACTGATCCATGTTTCACTGTCACATGGATGTTTCTCTCTCTCCCTCTCCCTTCCCTCTAAAAAAAAAAAAAAAAAAAAGTACTGAGCCAAAACCAGTATGGCTCAGTGAATAGAGCATCGGTTTGCAGACTGAGAGGTCCCAGGTTCAATTCCGGTCAAGGGCATGTACCTTGGTCGCAGACACATCCTCAGTGGGAGGTGTGCAGGAAGCAGCTGGTTGATTGGCTCCATAGTTTCGTAGTTTCTCTCTCATCCGTGTTTCTAGCTCTCTATCTCTCTCCCTTCTTCTCTGTAAAAAGTCAATAAAATATATTTAAAAAAAAAAAAAAAAAAGTACCAAGCCAAAATTGGTTTGGCTGAGTGGATAGAGCGTTGGCCTGCGAACTGAAGGATCCCAGGTTCGATTCTGATCAAGGGCATGTACTTTGGTCGCAGACACATCCCCAGTGGGGAGTGTGCAGGAGGCAGCTGGTCGATGTTTCTCTCTCATCAATGTTTCTAGCTCTCTATCCCTCTCCCTTCCTCTCTGTAAAAAATCAATAAAATATATATTTTTTAAAGTACTGATTTCATTTCAACTTTGATAAACATCATTTTATACAGTGGAAGGAAAAAAGCCTGTTTGCAACGCTAAAGACTCCTGATTCAACAGCCGCCAAATTTAGACTAAATACCAGTGATGCTAAGTGCCTTCCCAGGGTCATCCCCGGAAGCCTCCTCCTGCCACTCTGAGTGTTAAGTGTCATTATCTCCACCTTTGGGTGATGACACTGAGCCATACCGTAGTTAACAACTTGCTCCAGGTCACAAAACTAGGAAGTGATGCCCAGATTGAAACCTCTGAATGTGACGTTAAGAACTCTGTAACAACCACGAAGCAGATGCCCAAGGTTCACACACAGGGCCTCCCTGCACCGGATCCACATCTCCTTCGGGGCTGCTTTTATTCGGAGTCAGACTTGCAGTTTCTCTAAGAAAAAAAAAATTAATATTTTCAATCCTTGGACCAGGGCTCAGCAAACTGCTCAGCCCGATGCCTGCTTTTATTGGAAATACAGTTTTATTTGCACGCAGCCCGATCCACTCATGTACATAACGTCTATGACTGCTTTCATTCAATGTCAGAGCTGAGGAGTTGTGCAGAGCCATCTGGCCCCCAAGCATAAAATATTTACTATCCGGTCCTTTACAGAAAGCTAGCCAGCCCTGCCTTAGACTATAAGGCTGTAGGCCAGGACCAAAGCCTGTAGTAGCCAAACCCTGGCCTGTCTGCCTGTCTGCCTGTGACACTGCAGGACCCTTGCACGCACCATCCCCATGACCTTCAGATTGAGCTGGTAGAGGGACATCAGAGAGCCATGCAATAGACTCAAGTGTTTTGAGCACTCAGTGGTAAATAAAGGATAATTGTAACAGAGCCACCGAGAAAACAGGAAATGCTTTTGTCATGCCGTCTGTGTTGGCACCGTCATGCATTCCTGGCCTCCTCCCTCCAACCAGAAGCAGGAGCGCTTTGAGTTAGACTTCAAAAGCTTTTGGGAAACCGGAAATGTCAGGGGTTGTCTGGATGTCTCTGGTTCCTTACCTTTTCCCCAAATGTTAAGAACAGTTGGCTCCAAGAGATCGCCAGACCCTTCCTACGGAGCACCAGTCACCAGAAAAACAAGCAGTCGAGCCAGAAAGAGAAGCCAGCTGTTTCCCGGAATCCAGCTTTCCTAAACCCATAAAGCGGCAGTCCCCCTTTTAAAAGCCCTTTGAACTTGGCGTAATAAAAGCAGTGCTTGAGTTAAGCGTGTTATTATTCCTGTTGTTTGGAGGTAATATGCAGATGGCACTGAGCCTTCAAGGTGAAGACTTGTTCTCTTCCGTGTTCTCCCCGAAGCCACAAAGCACCCTGGGCCTCCTGGCTTCCAGATGCTCTTCCGTGACTGGGAAGGGAGGTGCCTTTTCTCCTTTAAAAAAAACTTTTTTATATATTTTATTGATTTTTTTTTTTTTTTTTTTTTTTTTTTTTTTTTTTTTTAACAGAGAGGAAGGGAGAGAGATAGAGATATAGAAAGGTCGATGGGAGAGAAACATCGACCAGCTGCTTCTTGCACACCCCCTACCGGGGATGTGCCTGCAACCAAGATACATGCCCTCGACTGGAATCGAACCCAGGACCTTTCAGTCCTCAGGCTGACACTCTACCACTGAGCCAAACCAGGTTTTGTTTTGTTTTTTAAATTTTTTAAAAATATATTTTATTAATTTATTTATTTATTTATTTTTACAGAGAGGAAGGGAGAGAGAGAGAGAGCTAGAAACTTTGATGAGAGAGACCTTTTCTCCTTTAACCCAGCCCCATCTTCTCCCTCTTTTGGAGACAGAGGCCAAATAAGTAGCTCTCACTCGCCTGCATTGGCTCGGAGTCCTTTTGCATCCCTATCCTTCTCTTGCTACGCATGCAACGCCTATCTCTAAACAGAAGTTCCCTTTCAAATGTTTGTCTCCCCAAAGACGTGAGTTCAGGATAAGCCAGGGGCAGCTGCTCAGGAGTGGAGATGTGGCACTGCACTTGGCTGACTTCGCGGGCCCTCTGCCCTCCTCCTCTGGAATCGCAGGATCCTGGTGAGGTCACCCAGGCTCCCTAAGCGTGTCGGTGCTCAGTGCCTGGCTCCTGGAGGAATGGCCCACGCGAGACCTGGACAAGTGTCCTGGTGCCCCGGCCAAGTCCGCTCTGCCTTCAGGGTGGCACCGTAAGCAGTATTTTCTAGAATCTATTGCATATCTGAGACACTGATAGATCCTCCCCTCCTCCAATTGATGGACAGACGTAAACTACACCTGCAGCCAGACGTTCCTGAGCACTGTCCCACCAATCAGCACCTGCCAAACACCCTAAGCCCCCAATTCCTAAGTCCCTAGGTCCCTAATCATAGGCCTTACATGAAACCACCAATCAGCATGTGCTGAGTGCCCTAAGCCCCGTCCCCTATCCTCCCCTTAAAAAGGGCATGAACCCCGGCCCTCGCTCTCTTCCGCTCTCTCTCTGGAAGCAGCCGGCAGTGGTACTCTTCTCTCCAATAAAGCCTGTGTCCTGGCATCCCGGTCTCCGGCCCCCTCTCTGTTTCCTCTTTCAGAAACCAAGTATTGTCTTGATCACATTGCCATCTTACAGAGGCAAATATATAGAGGGTCCCCCCAAAATGTAGACACACACTTTGAATAACTATAAAGGCAGTATTTTTATTAGAATGCATTTCATTTCTAAAACTGAGCTATCAGCTGTGTGTGTGTGTGTGTGTGTGTGTGTGTGTGTGTGTACATTTTGGGGGGATACCCTGTATAGGTCTGTAACTGAGTTTTCTGATTTGCTTTTGGTTGATTTGAAAATACATCAAGCAGATCGATTTCATTCTATGTTGATTTATAGCTTGAGGACGAAACTATTGCTGCATCACAAATTATGGCAAACTTAGTGGCTTACAGCAACCTAGGTTTCTCTCTGTTTCTGTGGGCCAGGGGTCTGGTTACAGCTTAACGAAATCCTCTTCATGGCTGTGATCAAGGTATAGGTCAGGGCTGTGTCTCACCGAAGGCTCGACTGGGGAAGGGTCTGCTTCCAAACTCATGGTTATTCGTAGAATTTCCTTTCGTTGCAGGCTCTCACACCGAGGGCCTCGGTTCCTCACTGGCTGTTGGCCGTGGGCTGCCCTCACTTCCTTTTCACAACATAGAAGCTGGCTTCATCACACCCAACAAGGAAGAGAGTCCCTAGCAAGATGAATACTACAATCTTAGGTATTTATGCACAGGTAATCATGTATATCCCATCACCTGACTATATTTTACTACTTAGAATGGAGTCCTGGGCCCTCACTCACGGGAGAGGATTACATAGGGACACCAGGAGGCAGGGATCTGGGGCATCATAGAATCTGTCTACTTCAGAAACCCTCTCCTCTGGCAGAAAAAATAAATTAGCAGTTGGATTTCTTTCCTCACATGCCACTGTCTTTGCCCTTTCTTCTCTCAAAAGGATGAAGAAAAGTTTGGGTTGCCTTAAAATGATCATCCACCTCGCTTTTCTTTGCTCCAACACAACTGTTAACTTAACCTGTTCCCATAAACATACATAGGATTGCTCTCCTAGTCAAGGTTATTTTGGTTGCAAGAAACAGAAACTTGCCCTGGCTAGTTTGGCTCAGTGGATAAAGTGTCAGCCTGCAGACTGAAAGGTCCAGGGTTCAATTCCGGTCAAGGGCACATATCCAGGTTGTGGGCTCGATCCCCATTTGGGGGTGTGCAGGAGGCAGCTGATCAGTGATTCTCTCTCGTCATTGATGTTTCTATCTCTCTCTCCTCTCCCTTCCACTCCAAAATCAATACAAATATATTTGAGAGAGAGAGAGAGAGAAACTGTTCAAACTAGCTTAGTCAAAGGAAGAGAATTTATTATAGGGATTTCTCCAGGGACCTAACAACAGAAAGTCCTCCATTCATTCTCATTCTCAGACCTTTAGAACGGAGCCTGGCATCAAATAATATAGTAGTGGTAGTACTGTCATCATTTCTCATACTGCCCTTGATAAATTGCCAGTTGATATATCTGCCTTATCAATGAGAAAAGGGTGTGTCCTTTACTCTCAGTCCCCACTGCCTGCCATATAGCACTCACCTAATTAACAGCTGTTCATTGCACAAATGAACAGATAGATTCTGTTAGGCCCTACAGGGCATAGAAGTAAATTCAAAAGCCTGGGCCCAAGGCACACACAGTGGGCTGGTCTGAAGGCCCACTTCTGTAAAAGGGCCAGATAGTACATTTTTAGGCTGTCTGGGCCACACACTCTGTTGCAAACATTCAACTCTGCCATTGCAGTGGGAAAGTGGCCCTAGGCAATAGGTAAATGAATGGACTTAGCTGTATTCCAGTAAAATTTTATGTATGGTTACTAAAATTTAAACTTCCTATTATTTTCACAGCATAAAATGCTATTCTTTTTCTTCCCCCCCGCCCCCAACCATTTACAAATGGAAAAACTCTCCTTAGCTCGTTAGCCGTTCAAAACCAGCGAGCTGGTTTGGTTTCGCATGTGCAGATTAGCCGTTGCCAAACGCTCGCTCCAAGGTTTCAGCCAAGGAGTTCGCGCTCCTGGGAGGGCGCCGGCACGGATGCTGGCTTCGGATTGGGCCAGGGACAGTGGGCGGGGCCGAAGGTGGGCGGCTTCCTGACTTGTACGTGGTGGGAAGGGGTAGTCCCGGATTGGTCCGCACCGGCGGCGGCTGTTCGGCATTCAGCCAATCAGCGCTGCGCTTCCACATCGCTCCGCCTCGCGCTAGCGTCTACGTCACGCGGGGAGTGCGCTACCTGTCTTGCGCGTCCGGCACCACTTCCGGGCACTGGCGCGGCGTGACGTCAGGAGGAGGGCAGGTAAGGGCTGGTAGGCGGAGGGGCGGCCAGGCTGGTAGGGGCCCGGGTAGTGGGGTGAGGTGGGGGTGTTAGGCTGCTACCTCACCCAATCTCGGAGGCGTCCTACTGACCGAGCTCGCCGGGAGGATGAGGGGGCGGAGCGGAGAGGCACGGTTCTGGGGTCGCGGGCCCGTTGTCCCGATCCCAGTCGTGACCCCGACCCAAATCCCGGGCGACGGCCTGACTCCAGACCCAGCCTTGGCCCATGTTATGCCTGAAGGGCCCCTTGGTTTACTACATCTAGAAAATGGAACCAGTAAGCCCCTGCCTCGCTTGGTCGTGGTGAAGATTTTGTAAAATAAACTCTTGGAAAACGGTGGGCATGAGAAACAATCACAACCACCAACGCGGTTAATTCGCCGTTAGGTGCTGTAGTGAGAACTTTAACTCATAGTCATAACCGCAACCTTATCAGGTTGATACTTCTTTTGTTTGTTTTTAATCTTTTTTTTTAATTTTTTGTGAAGTTTTTGGTCATTCATGTTGTAACAAATCTTTTTTTTAAGTTTATTGATTAAGCTATCACATATTTGTCCTCATTCCCCCATTTCCACCCCCAACCCCTCCCCATGTATGACTATCCTCCCTCTCCCTCTCCCCTCCTTGTCCATGACCACTGGTTAGGCTTATATGCATGCATACAAGTCCTTTGGTTGATCTCTCCCCCTTTCCCCCTCCCAGGTTGATACTTTGGTTAAACCCTATTTTATAGATGAGGAAACGGAGGCCCAAAGAAAGTGAGCAGCTTGTCCAAAGTCAGGCCCCTTGCAAGCAGCAGAGTCGGTATTGGAGTCGAAGTAGTACATCCTGGGCAAATACAGTCTATGTTTACTCTTGACACCAGGGATCAGAGATTCCCATCTATCCAGCCTGTTATAGTATTCACTGGGGTGTAAACCATGTTAAGACTCCTGGTTCCTGTAAACAGTACTTTGTGCACTTCCCACTGCGTTATTTCATCCACAGCAACCCCACAAGTCAGCCCTGTTGCCCTCATCCGCTCTTTACAGGTGAGGAAATATAATAATTCAGGGAAGCTCGGACACTGGGCAAGGCCACCCAGTGAGTGAGGAGTAAAGCTGAGATTCAAGCCCAGGGAACTGTGACCCCAAAACCTGGGTGAGCACTTAGCTATTTTGTTAGCAAAAACATCCAGGGGTTGCCGGAGCTGGTTTGGCTCAATGGATAGAGCATCAGCCTGCGAACTGAGAGGTCCTGGGTTCAATTCTGGTCAAGGGCATATACCTGAGTTGCGGGCACACCCCCAGTGGGGAGTGTGCAGGAGGCAGCTGATCAATGTTTCTCTCTCATCGATGTTTCTAACTATCCCTCTCCCTTCCTCTCTGTAAAAAAATCAATAAAATATTGTATATATATATATTTCTAAAAACATCCAGGGGCACTCTTTTTTTTTTCTTTTTTTTAAATATATTTTACAGAGAGGAAGGGAGAGGGATAGAGAGTTAGAAACATCGATAGAGAGAAACATCTATCAGCTGACTCCTACACAGCCCCCACTGGGGATGTGCCTGCAACCAATGTACATGCCCTTGACCAGAATCAAACCTGGGACCCCCCAGTCCGCAGGCCAATGCTCTGTCCACTGAGCCAAACTGGTCTCGGCCCAGGGGCACTCTTTACAGATGGAGGGCCCGAGACAGAGAGATGTTCGGGACAATGTCGGAGCAGTTTACATCCAGGGCTTTGCCTCCTGGTCCTGTCTCCCCATCAGCTTCTGACTCTGGCAAGTTACTTAGGTCCCCACGTCAGTTGGAAATAATAGTACAATACAGAGTAAATGAGGCAACAATGTCAGGCTCAGTGCAGCAACCGGCACACAGTGACCATTAGAAAGTGCACAACTAAAGTAGCAGCAACAATTAGACCACACTTCCTGACTAGCACAGGGAGCTGGCAGATGACACCCACAGGCCAAAACCAGCCTGATTTTGTACAACCTGCCGCCAGCCAAGAGAGATACTGACTTCTTAAATGATTGGGGGAAACTCAAAAATGAGAATACTTTGTAACAAGTGACAGTCATGTGAAACACACATTTCAGTTATCTTGGGGTACAGTACACCCATTCATTTACATCTTGTTCATAGCTACCGTATTTTCTGGCATATAAGATGACTGGGCGTATAAGACGACCCCCGGATATTTTTTTCCCCCCGCCTGGTTGACTTTTTTTCGTTTTTAAAAGTCGTCTTATACGCCGGAAAATACGGTACTTTCTGTGAACTGGCGCTGGGCAGAATGGAGTTATTGGGACACTGATAGTCTGGTCCGGAGAGCCAGCAGCATTTACTCTATGTTCCTTAACAGAAAATTTGCCAATCCCAATTCAAGACCTAAAAGTCTCTCCCCCAAAATGCAGGGTGTAGGTGGTGTCTAACCCCCAGTTTCAGGAGCCGCTGCATTTGATACCTGTGTCACCTGCCACTGATTCTTACGGAAATTTCAATCAGTTACCCATGGTTATTTGTCAGAACTTTTTTTTTAAGTTGTGTTGTTTTTTTTATCCTTACCCAAGGATATGTTTATTGACTTTAGAGAGAGAGGAAGGAGGAGAGAGAAAAACATCCATCAGTTGCCTACTGTACCTGCCCTGACCAGGGATCAGACCGGTAACATTTTGGTGTACATCCAGCTACCTGAGCCAGAGGCCAGGCCTTGTGTCAAAATTTATTAGAGGCCAGGTGCTAGAGGTATGGCAAGGTGAGATCTTGCAGAGGAGGCAAACTGTAGACAAGTAAACAGACACGGGGTGATGTGATGGGAACTCCAGGGGAGAAGTGACTCCAGCGAGGCCTCTGACAAAAGTGATGTTTGAGCTGAGGCCTGTGACAAAGCGCAGACAGCTCTCGGAGGAGCGCTCCAGGCAGTTGGCTTGCACCTGCTTAGCCTCTCAAGGCAGCCCGGAAGCAAGAGTGAGCACGAAGGAGAGGGGTGAGAGGCAGGCTTGGAGAGGGAGGCAGGGGTTCCATAGCCCACAGCCGGGGAGCTGAGGAGAGTACATGATTCTCAAAGCAATGGGAGTAACTGGAGGGGTTTAAGCAGGAGAGCGGTATTTTAGATTCATTTTTTTTAAAAGATCCTCCTAGCGCCTGAGGGCAGAGTGAGACCAGAGAGAGGTGACTACACTGGTGGAGGGGAGCGATGGCAGGGGCCACGGAGGGGTGAGAAGCTTTAGCTGTGAATATATGTTGGATGGCGAGTGGACAGGACACTAAACCAACAAGCGCTGCTCTTTGGACACCTGGGGGAAGGCTTTTCAGAGTCAACACCACCTTACCCAGCCCACAGCACCTTCTCAGGGAACCCGGCTCCCCAGGAGTGGGGCTGGTCTGATGGTCAGCACAGCACAGTCCGTCAGTGTCTTGTCCTCTTTTCAGATTGGCCACGTTGAGGGTGAGGACCAGTAGGCAGCTCCCAAGATGGTGAGTAGACTGGCTTGTGTTTCTTGGGGTTCTTTTCTAGTCCTCAGTCCCCCACAACAGCCCCTTCCTCCCCTAAAGCCCTTCCCTGTCCCTGAGCTCTAAGATGGCATTTTCAAACTCTGGATTCATCATCTTTGGGTGCCGTAGTTCTCAAACTTTGCTTCACATTAAAATCACCCCAGAAGCTTTTTTCTTCCTTTGACTTTTTTTTTTTTAATGAGGTGAAATTCTCATAACAAAATTAACCATTTTAAAGTGTATTATCCCAGGGCATTCATAATGTTGTGCAGCCATCATCTCTAAACTACCTCCAAAACATTTCCATCGCCCAAAGGAAACTCCTTCCCTATTAGCAATCACTCCTCCAGCCCCTAGCAACCACCAGTCTGCTCCGTGTCTCTATGGATTTGCCTGTTCAGGACATTTCATGTAAATGGGACCACCTGCCATTGGGCCTTTATATCTGGCCTCTTTCACTTAACGGAACGTCTTCAAGATACGCCCAGGATGTAGCATGTATCAGAGCTTCATTCCCTTTAATGGTTGAATTATATTACAATGAGCGAATGGACCACCTTTGGTTTATCCATTTATCCATGGATGGGCATTTGGGTTGTTACCACTTGTTGGCTGTTGGGAATAATGCTGCTGTGAACAAGGATTTGTTTAAACATGTTTTCCAGGTTGCTTTTTAAAAGCCCAGGGTTCAGGCGCCTCTCTCCAGAGCAGGTCCTCTCTCAGGAGTTTTCTGGGCGTGGACCCAGATAGCAGTATTTTAGAAACTCCTCAGGTGGCTGTAATGTGCAGCCAAGTGTGAGACCCACTACTTTGGTGGGTCATTCAGTCATCTCAGCAAGTGGCTGTCAGCCTTTAAAAGAGACTCCCCAGCCAGGGTAAGGTTCTTTCTGAAACCTGTGCCTCAGCTGAATTGCGAGCATGTCTGCCCTGTTGCACTGTTAAATGTGTCTTCCTGTAAGTCAGACCCCCCAAAATGCAAAAGCCATTGCTCTAGGAGAGTGGGACCCTCGTGGAATTTTCCATGGCAACAACAGTGGGTTTTCTCCCAGGTCACCAGCCCTCGATCAGACATGGAGCCCAGGGCCATCCTCAGTCTCCCTCATCCAAGCCCCGCCCATCAAGGCTGCACCACTAGGTCTCCTGCAGGACACTCTCTGAGTCATGTCTCTCTCCTGCTTTCCAGGGTGAAAGGAAAGGTGTAAACAAGTACTACCCTCCCGACTTCAACCCTGAAAAGGTAAGAGGCAGGCTTCCTTCCCACGTGCATGACTGCAGAGACCTCCCGGGGCAGGGTGAGGTCTGTGCCAGGGCATCCTCACCATCAGAGCCACCGCTGCAGGCGCATGGGCGACCCTGAGATCGCTCTGCCTTGCTCTTGTGGCCCGAGTCTTGGGGTAGTCTTCACCCCAGAGGAAAACATGGCTGTCGTCAGTGACCTGCTCTGCACTCAGCTTGGCGTATTTCCAGCAGAACTCAGGATGAGGTCAGGCACTCAGGCCCTGGGTCGGATCCCAGCCCCTCAGGTCTCCTCGTACCCTCCGCTGTTCCCTCTGCTTGGAATCTCTTCCTCCATTTGACTTTCCTTCTTTTAGGGCTCTACTCACACAGGGCCTCCCTGACCGTTGTCTCATTCTCTTTTTTCATTACCTAGTGATGTTTCTCTTCTAGCCCTGTAAGGGCTCCTTGACACATTATCTATTGAGATTGTCCAATTTCCCTTTAGAATATTCACTCCACTCAGGTAGAGATATTCCGTCTTGTTCACGGCTGTGTCCTCATACAACAGAGGCCGAGTAAGGTCTGCTGAGTGAGTCGGTGCGATCTGGCTGCATGGCCCCAGGCCCTTGGCTCAGCCTCTCTACACCACAGTTTTCCCATGTCAGAAAGGAAATAAACAGCCTGTCCTCAGAATCGCTGAGGGATTAAAATGAGGCAGCCACGTAAAATAGCCAGTAAACGTTTGCCAGTTCTCCCCACGACACTCAGAGGTAATTATAGAACCTAGACTCAGGAAGGCAGATGGTGAGGTTACTACCCAGGTCACACAGCTCTTCCAGCTCTAAAACGGGAGAGGAAAGATTCAAACTCATGTATTCATGAGCCCAACCGCACTGGCTTCACCACAACCTCTGCCTTCCGTTGTGCTGGTAATACTCCTGGAAGGCCGTAAGAAAGAGGCCTCTCTCAGCCTGTGCCAGAGAGCACGAGCTTTGCCCACTCAGCATTGCTAACCTCCTTCCTCCTCTCTGCACAGCATGGCTCGCTCAACCGATACCACAAGAGCCACCCGCTCCGGGAGCGGGCTCGGAAGCTGTCCCAGGGCATTCTCATCATCAGGTAAGGCCCGAGAACTCCTGCCCCTGTGCCACCTGCCCTCAGTCACAAGGAGAATTCAGCACTCCAGTGAGCCTAGTGCTGCAGGATCTTAATTCTGTTAAGCAGAGAGTCACTGTATCAGTCAGCTGTTGCCACATTACTAAACAATAAGCACATATTGCTCACAAGTCCAAGGCTCAGCTGAATGTCTCTGTTGGCCTTACTGTCCTGGCTATAGGAACATTTGTCAGCCATTTTTATCCCCTCTAAGTACGTGCCCTTTGCAGTGCGGCTGTGGCCAGAGTTGCAGGTGTGGAGTCTAAGGTGGAGCCCATGGACAAAAGCAAATAAGCTGTTTTCTGTTTGTGTAGATTCGAGATGCCGTATAACATCTGGTGTGATGGCTGCAAGAACCACATTGGCATGGGTGAGTTTCCACACTCCCCCTGCTCCCACCCAGCCCACCCCTATTCAGTCCCACAGACACTGAAGCCCATTAACCACCAGGGTCATCTCCATCAGGGACTGCCAGCCAGGAGTCTGGGAGGAGGTGGCACCCAAGTGCCTGGCGGGCTGCGGGTGCCTCATTGCAGAGTGGTGAGGAGGCCAGGCTTTGCGTGCATCTCCTAGCTGAGTGATCCTGGGCAAGTGATTGAGCCTCTGTGTGCCTCAGTTTACCCATCTGTAAAATGCAGGTGGTCTGAGTGTCCACCTGTGTGGCATGTAATGTATGTAGTGCACAGCCTGGCCTGCATGGTTCAGTGGTTGAGTGTCAACCTATGAACCAGGAGGTCATGGTTCGATTCCAAGTCAGGGCACATACCTAGGTTTTGGGCTCATTCCACAGTGGGGATGTGAAGAAGGCAGCTGATGAATGATTCTCTCTCATCATTGATGTTTATATCTCTCTCCCTTCCTCTTTGAAATGAATAAAATACATTTTAATAAATAAAAGTGTGAGTGCCCAGCACGTGGCATATGGAAGGGCTCATGAATTCAGTCTGCTGCTCTCACTGTCCTTGACTGTCGCCATTAGCATTTGGGCCTCTGACTGTGGCACGTGCACTGATGCATAGACAGACAGGCGTGGTCCAAGGTCTTGCTCAGCCGTGGTGAGGCCTTGGTCTGATGACTCAACTCTCCTGACTTTGTTTCCTCCTCTGGGATCCTCACGGCGCCTCCCTCAGCTCCCCACACACACCTGGCCAGGGGAGCAGCTCATGGAGCTGATGGCTCTCAGTGAGCGGATCCAGTTCTGGCAAAGGCTGTGGAAGTGCAGGAAGGGGTAGGCCAAGCCACCCGACTGCTGAGGAGGACAAGTGAGCCCTTGTGGTGTCTCCCTGATCAGAGCCAGCCAGGGCATCTGCCTCATAGGCCACCAGGCACTCAGGGACAAAACGTGGGGCTTGGCCTGCCACCACCACACATGGGTCACCCTCAGGGACATGACTGGAAGCAGGACCCATGAGAGGAAAAAACAGCTAAGCCACACCACTCGCCAGCCCAAGCTCTGTTTTTCTAGTTTAAGCATATTTCACTGATAAACAAGTTCATACAGAGTCAAGAATATCACCTAGCTAGCAAAATAATAAGAAATCTGAAAATTCTCTAGAAAAATAGTAAGTCCAGCCCTTCTCAAATGTTTGCTGAGCCAGGCCCTATTCTAAGCAATATGTGTCTTATTAGCTCCTGCAGTTTTCACAATAGCCCCGTACAGAAGGCATTATAATCATCCCTATTGCACAGATGTGGACACAGGCCCAGAAGGGTGAGCTTGCTGACCTGAGCTCACACAGCTGATAGGTGGTGGAATCAGGATTCATCCCAGACCCTCTGGCTCCTGCCTCCCCTTCTCTGTGGCTTGAGCACCTGTCACACAGCCTGAGCACAGCTCTCTGCTGCCTTGAATTTTAGTGCCTTCCTGGCGACCGCCTCCGCAGGGGCGCAGAATGCCACCCCTACCTGCCCCCGACCCAGGTGCGTGGGCTCCAGCCGCCTGAGCCTCCACTCCCCTTCTCCTCCAGGTGTTCGTTACAACGCGGAAAAGAAGAAGGTTGGCAATTACTACACGACCCCTGTCTACAGGTATAGCAGCCTGGCGGGTGTCTCAGGGACGTGTGGGCGGCCGCAGGGCGGATGGGCTGAAAAGGAGTCTTAAGGGGAGGGAAGCTGGGACCCTCTTCCTGATGGCCGTCACCTGTGTTCTGTCCAGAAAACCATCCTGGTGTGTCAATCAGTACATCCCTCTGTCTAGACCCCTCCATGGCTCCCACCTTCCTCAGAGTAAAAGCTCTCCCCATGGCCAAGACCCCTAACACCCTGCTCTATCCCGTCCCTGCTCTCACCTCCTCCCACACTTCCCCTCGCTCACTCTGCACCAGCCACTCGAGCTCCTCACTGTCCCTGTCTCTTACCTCTGTTCCTTCCCTTTGGTTTCTACTCCACCACCACCTCTCAAAGAGGACTTTTCTAAAGTGACAAGTACCACCCCACACTGCAGTTGCTTGTGTCTTTGTGGGCAACCTGGCCCCTGCTGGAGTGTCCATCCCTCCGAGTGTAGGTTGATTTGTTTCACTGCTACGTCCCTGGCAACCTGTGCCATGCCAGCCACAGACCAGCCTAGCTCAGGAGTGTTTGTTGAGTGAGTGAATAAGCAAATGAATGAATGAACAAACTCCAGGCAGAAGTTAGTTCTGGTATAATGGGACCATTTCTGTCTCGCCATGGCTATATCCCCAGGTATGGAACTTAGTAGATGCTCAGTAAACACTTGTTGAGTGATGGTCACAGGTAGAAGGAAGCAGGCAGGGGTCACATGGCAGCCTGGGGTGGCTGCAGTGTCCTGATTCCTGCCCACCTCCCAGATTCCGGATGAAATGCCACCTCTGCGTCAACTACATCGAGATGCAGACGGACCCTGCCAACTGTGACTATGTGATCGTGAGTGGTGCCCAGCGCAAGGAGGAGCGCTGGGACATGGAGGACAATGAGCAGGTGCTGACGACAGGTGAGCACCTCAGGCAGCCCAAAGCCACCCCTGCCTGACCCTGACCCTGACCCTGACCTGAGGTGGGCCCCAGAAGGCCCAGCCACATTCCCACCCTTGCAGAGCATGAGAAGAAGCAGAAGCTGGAGACAGATGCCATGTTCCGTCTGGAGCACGGGGAGGCCGACCGGAGCACACTCAAGAAGGCCCTCCCCACCCTGAGCCACATCCAGGAGGCCCAGAGCGCCTGGAAGGATGACTTCGCCCTCAACAGCATGCTGCGGAAGAGGTTCCGGGTGAGTGCCCGCCCAGGACCGGAAGCACAGGCAGGCGGGGGCACCTGGCATCGCTGACATGGCAAGTTAAGACCCAGGTCCAGCCCTGTCCCCATCACACACTAGCCACAGGCCTGTCATTTCATCCACTGAGCCTGATTTTCCACCTGCAGCATGAAGACCTCACAGCGCCCATGGGAGGCACCTAGCCCAGCGGCTATTTTTCAGCTCGTAGCGCCTTCCCCTGTGGGGACTGGGCTTCGCTTTCAGCAGATCTCAAGGGGTAAACGAGCCTCAAGCGAGGGCCCGGGTGCAGCCTGACCCTGCTGTGGTATCAGATGGAGGCCCAACAGGTTACTGACCAACTGGTCAACTCCTAACACGCATCCCATGGGCCCACTCAGCTGTCCCAAAACAAAATCCGTGGATTGTCAGCCTGCCCCAAAATAATTTCCAGCACAATCCTGCCATGTGCTGACTAGGAGAAAAAGAAAAATTTTTATTATTTATTATTTATAATAAAATATATGCAGTAATGCATATTTCAGTTTGTGGGCAAGAGAGCTGCACCTCACCTGTGTGGACAGCCACAAGGGCACGGGTACAAATGCCGGACACCGGGTACTGCCATCAGTGACCACAAGGGCTCCTGAAGTTGTGCCAAAACTGTTTGGTGGGGCTATGAAAACTAGTGCCCTGGCTGGGTAATCACCCATATAAATTGGGTTTTCACCCTTGCAGGGTCTGACAGGGCACTGTGAGAACCTCCTTCTCTCACTCTGTGGGGAAGACTGGGCCCCAGGACACTACAAATGGAGCCCAAGCAGGAGCACTAGGGCTAACCCCACAGGCCACAAGTTCCCTCACTCTCCTATAGCTCCCATCTCTTCCTGCTTCCTTTTCTGATCATTCTCTGGTCATCATTAGGAGTAAAATTACTAGTTTGTTTTTATTTATTTGAGAGAGAAGGAGAGAGAACAATTGATTTGTTGTTTCACTTATTTACGCATTCATTGGTTGAGTCTTGTATGTGCCCTAACTGGGGATTGAACCCTAAACCTTGGTGTATAGGGACTACACTAACCAACTGAGCTACCCAGCTAGGGCTGTAGCTTTCTTACTAATTACTTGTTACTAGAAGTGCTTCCCTGCAGCCAGGCCTGAGCTGTGTGTCCCCTGCCTTCTGGGCTTCTACACGTGGTAGAAGGACCCTCAAACATAACATCCCAGTGAGCTTACCTCAGCCCCTAACCTTCCCCACCCACATCCCCTCTTCCCAGCAGAGAAGTTACCTGTTTAACCTGGCTGGGTGGCCCAGTTGGTTCCTCACTCTTCCCAACAGCCCCAAGCACACTCTGTCTCAGGGCCTTGCACAGGCTCTTCCCTCCACTTTACAACGCTCTTCCACCAGGTTCCCGCATGGCCCCTCGCTCAGATCTTTTCTCGGATGTGATCTTCTCCAGAGACAGTCCCTGAGCCTCTTCTTCACCCTGTATCACATTTAAAGTTGAATCCCCTGGCCTCTTCCTACCCCTTTCCTGGCGTTCTTTTTCTCCCATCACTGTTGTCTCACTCACCCACTAGAATGTCAGTTCCACAAGGGCAAGGGTTTTTGTCTGCTCTCTGCTCCCAATGTCCAGAACAAGGCCTGGGACAAGATGGGTGTTATGTAAATATTTGCGGATTGAACGAGTGAAGAACCGATGGTACACATATTAATAACAATTGTGCCTCCCGTTTGTTAAGCAACTTTTGTGCCCCAGCCATAGTGTGAGGCTCTTTTCTCCCTCGAGCTTTGAGAGGAGGAAACAGACCTGGAGGTCTGGAGCAATGGTGTGAGTCAACAGGCATGGGAGAGACGCAGCTTTGACACCCACCTCACTTCCCCCAACAGGAAAAGAAGAAAGCGCTGCAGGAGGAGGAGGAGAGGGACCAGGCACTGCAGGCCAAGGCGAGCCTGGCCATCCCCCTGGTGCCTGAGACGGAGGATGACCGCAGGCTGGCCGCCTTGCTCAAGTTCCACACGCTGGACTGTGCGTGGGCTGAAGGGGCTGGTGGGATGGGGAGAGGTGGGGGGCCCGGCTCTGAATGGCAGACCCGGGCAGAGGGTGGCTTTGGACCTCTTTCCCCTCCTCTCCCTCTCCCCCAGCATATGAGGACAAGCAGAAACTCAAGCGGACAGAGATCATCAGCCGCTCCTGGTTCCCCTCGACCTCGGGGCCCAGCAACTGCAGCAAAGCGGGCAGCGTCCTGAAGAAGCTGGCCCAGAACCGGAAGTCTGCACCCGCTGGCTCCCCCATCACTGTGGGGGGGCTGGGCATTGTGCGAAGGCAGTCCCGGGAGACCTCGGAGAGCCCACAGCATGTCGCCAAGACCTCCAAGTCTGGGAAGCTACAGGGGTCAGAGGGCACCACCCAGGACTTGCCCGCATCCCCCCAAGACTGCTCTCAGGAGACAGCCAAGACCCCCAAGACAAAGGAACCTCAAGGGCAGAATGGGGGCTGTCAGGACAGGCCTCGGTCCTCACCAGGCACCTCCCAAGAGGCAGCCGACCCCCAGGACACACCACGCCCCTGCACCCTCAACTCTTCCCTCGTGGCTGACTACTCAGACTCGGAGAGTGAGTGATTTCGGGGACTGGACCCCCTCTGGAGGCTGAGGCATTCCCAGGAGATCCCTCAGAGACTGCAGCCTCACTGGACCACCAGCCTCCGAGACCTCAAACATCACCCCTTCCTCAGACCTCGCCTTCCTAGTGATGGAATTATTTATTTGGTCCCGAAGAGAGGGAGAGGGTGTGTGTGCCTTGTAGGACATCCCCTCCCCGCAGACTTATTAAAGCTCTGCTTCTTTGCCCTTGCCTCCGGTTACTAGATGGGCCCAGGGGCTGCCCCTCTACCCCACCCCATCCAACCAAGCTGGCAGGCCTCTCATAGCAAATGGTGATGCCAGGGCTTCAGCTGTGACCACAACGATGGTCCTCACCCAGGATGATGAGGGTTTCAAGGTAGTGGCTCTAAGGTTTCAAGATTGGTCTGCAATCAGGACAGACTTCCCAGAGGAAGTGACACATGCTAAGTGGGAAGGGTGGGTAGGGGACCAGGCAGCAGGAACCACGCAAGGAGCCCAAGGTTGGGGGCACACGGGGTGTCCATGCAGGTGTGAGCTGTTCCTTGTCCCCAGCCCATGGGGACACCTTACAAGGGTCACTAAAAAGGTCCCAGCGTGTTGCTGCTTTTGAATGAAATGTAAGACAGCAGAAAATAGTTCAGAACTGCCACACATTCACCAGGAATTAATAGCCTGTCGCCTCATTTCACATCACATCCTGATGGAGCACTGGGTGCCAGGCACTGTTCTAGCCACAGGGGAAACAGCGATGAACAGACGCAACCCTCTTGGGACGGAGGTTCCAGCTAAATTCGTACTCGGGGCGTGGTGGTCGCAGGAGTTGTCCCAGCCCACCAGCCCTGCTCCCCAATGGGGCAGTCAAGTCTCAGGGCAGCAGTGAGAGCCCGTTAGTTCCTGACATCTCCAATCAGGGCTTTTCTCTTCCAGAGACAACCGGCAGCACTTGCTCTGGCCTGATGGTGCCCGCCTAGGACTTGGCGGTCATAGCATGACCAGCCAGACGCCGAACACAAGGTCTGGCATCTGGAAGATGCCCCGAAAATGGTGCCTTTGTGGTCCCGAGGGGGAGGCCCTGAAAGGGGATAAAAGACTGAGCCCAGGGAACCTGCAGGGCTGCGCGCACGCGCCTCCTTCCGGCGAAGGCCCCGCCCACACAGCGCCGCAGCGCCGGGACGGTGGAGCACGCCGGCCGCGCCATGCCCCCTCTGGAGGCGATCCGCTACTCGCGGGGCTCGCTGCAGGTCCTCGACCAGCTGCTGCTGCCCCAGCAATGCCGCTACGAGGAGGTGGCCTCGGTGCGCCAGGCCTGGAAGGCGATCCACGCCATGAAGGTGGGGTGCAGCGCAGGGGCTGTGGGCGGGGCGCGCCCTCGCCGGCGCCCCTGACGCCCCCAACCCTCCCCTCCAGGTGCGCGGCGCGCCGGCCATCGCGCTCGTGGGGTGCCTCAGCCTGGCCGTGGAGCTGCAGGCCGGGGCCGGGGGGCCGGGGCTCGCCGCGCTCGTGGCCTTCGTGCGCGACTCGCTGAGCTTCCTGGTCACCGCCCGGCCCACCGCCGTCAACATGGCCCGCGCCGCCCGCGACCTGGCCGACGCCGCAGCCCGAGAGGCCGAGCGGGAGGGCGCCACGGAGGAGGCCGTGCGGGAGAGGTAGGGGGCTTGTGCCAGGCGCTGCTCCGAGCAGAGGCGCATTTTGTTCGCACAGCGACCCATTGTACAGATGAGCAGCAGATAGGGCGCGCTTAGCCCAAGGCCTCCGGGCGGGGCTGGGAGCCCGCCCCAGGCCCCAGGAGCTTGGATTCAATCCCATGGCTGTGCTTCCCTGAACATGCCCAGCCGCCCCCCCCCCCTTGCCCTTGGAGGTCCTTTTCAGTACCACCTCCTTCTGCCCGGGTTTTTCTTTTGAGGAATTTTGGTTCTTGTCTCATCTGTTCCCTGCCTTCTTTTCCCACTCTCCCCCTTCTGCTCCAGCCACATGTCCTTTGACCCCACCAGGCTCGCTCCTGCCCCGGGGCCTTTGCACATGCCTTCTCTCTAGAGCAGATGCCCCTCCTTCAGGTTAAGGCTTCTGTCTTCCCTACCCCCTGTATGTTACTGCTCATCCTCCCCCACCCCCCACCCCCCTGACTCTGCTGCCTTTTTCTTCACGTTATTTTTATATTTTTTTAAATTGATTTTTTTACAGAGAGGAAGGGAGAGGGATAGAGAGTCAGAAACATCAATGAGAGAGAAACATCAACCAGATGCCTCCTGCACACCCCCTACTGGGGATGTGCCCACAACCAATGTACATGCCCTTGACCACAATCGAACCTGGGACTTCTCAGTCCGCAGACCGACATTCTATCCACTGAACCAAACGGGTTTTGGCTCTTCGCGTTATTATCTGCTCGTTTTTTGCCTCCCCAACTTGTGTCAGCTCCACAGGGGCAGAGATTTCTGTCTTGGTTACTGCTGGGCCCCCCAGCACTTCGCACGCGGGAGGTGCTCAGTTAACATGTGTTGCATGAGAGCGAATGGAGTGACAGGTGGCAAAAGCAGAAGGATCTAGGCCTCACAGCTGTGAGTGGCTTTCAGCAAGAGCGCTGGGCAGGAAGGAGGGGCCAGCCTAGGCCCCACGGCTGACAGTCCCCTGTCGGCCCCAGAGTGATCTGCTACGCTGAAGACATGTTGGAGAAAGACCTCAAGGATAATCAGAGCATCGGAGACCTGGGAGCCCACCACCTCCTGGAGCGGGCAGCCCCCACGGGCGGCAAGGTGACCGTGCTGACCCACTGCAATACGGGTGCCTTGGCCACTGCTGGGTATGGCACAGCCCTGGGTGAGTAAGTGGTATTCATGGGGGTGGGGGAGGGCCCCTTTTGGATTCAAAAGAAAGAAAACCAAACCACTTTTCCCACCGCACCCAACCCCCAAAATGGAAATAGATTAGTTCTTGTACAGAAACAGGAAGATGCCTTCAGGTATGGCTGGCTCCAGGAGTTCCAGAAATTAGCATTAGGACCCATCTATTCCTGTCCCGCTCCTGCTCCCGGCCCACCGGTCAGCAGAGGGCCCGCCAACGTTCAGATCAGAGGAGAGGAGCCTGTGCCAACGATTCAAAACTCCTCATAACTCAGGGGCTCTGATGGGGTCACCTGCCCACCCAAGACCAACCACTTGATGGACCTGGCCTGAGTGGGCAGAATGTGGACTTCAAGAGAACTGAGGGGAAGAGAGTGGTCCCCAAGGAATGATTGGGGTAGCAGTGACCTAAAGAGGGGGAACTGGTCCTGGGGCTCAGATTCCACTTGATCTTAAATTCCCCAGATTTCTCTACCTGCTTGGGTTTCACATTGGGGCCTGGGGACTGAGGCCTGATGGCAAGACATCATTCATTCATGTGCCCTACCATTCATGCATGCATGCACTCCTTTATTCACTCGGCATTTATTAAGCAACTACTATGTGTCCCACCATTCATGAGTGCAAGCTTTCTTTCATTCACTCAACAACAGACATTTATTAAGCATCTACTATTTGCCAGGCCCTGGGGAGCCAGCAGTGAGCCATTGGGAAAGGAAAGTAGAAGGAACAGACAAAAGCAAGTCAGTAAATACATATGATGTATTCGGAGGTGATAGCACTAAAGAGGAAAAGCAAGGAAAGAGGTGGAGGTGTGGGGGTTGCTATGTGAGATGGGAGGACCAAGGAGGGACTCACCAGGTGTCCTCTAAGCACACGTGCACTGGACGGAGGGACAGCCACCACGAGAGCCTGGGGACGGGGAGCCTTTGGAGATCTGTCCCCTCCACTAATGGGCCACCACCCTGCCCATCTGTCCCTTTCTGCCTCATCCTGGCCTTTTGGTGAATCGGGTCCTGCAGGTGTGATCCGCTCGCTGCACAACCTCGGTCGCCTGAAGCATGTCTTCTGCACGGAGACCCGGCCCTACAACCAGGGGGCCCGGCTGACCGCCTTCGAGCTGGTCTATGAGCAGATTCCCGCCACCCTCATCACCGACAGCATGGCAGCCGCCGCCATGGCTCACCAGGACGTGTCAGGTCAGCAGGTGGGGTGCCCGCAGGCGGGGCAGCAGCACTCGGGGCTCCGGGCATCCAGGGTCAGGTGATGACCCCCAACATCTTACTCCCCAGCTGTGGTTGTGGGAGCTGACCGCGTGGTTGCCAATGGTGACACAGCCAACAAGGTGGGCACCTACCAGCTGGCCATCGCTGCCAAGTACCATGGCATCCCCTTCTACGTAGCTGCCCCCAGCTCCTCGTGTGACCTCCGTCTGGAGACAGGCCAGCAGATCGTCATTGAGGAGCGCCCAAGCCAGGAGCTGACCGACGTCAACGGGGTCAGGATTGCAGCCCCCGGTAAGCCATCCCTCAGCAGGGTACCAGAATCTGGGCACCTTCGGTTAGGTACCCATCCCCTTCCCAAGCGGCATCTGCGGTGTTATCAGCCTTCTAGGGCACAAGCAACATCAAATTCAAGCCAATTTTAGAAACAGAAACAAGTTGGAAGTCAAATTCTCTACCCCGGTTTTCTCACCTGAAGAACAAATAAGAATCCTGTCCAGCCACTTAGAGGCACAGATATTTCCCAGCTTCCCATGCTTCCTGGCTGTGCAGCTATGAGCAGGTCGGCCTAAGTTCTGTTCTCTCATCCTTAATAGCCCCTGTGCTCCTCTCTATAAAAGAGCTGTTATTGTGACCCACCTCATAAATCCCAGGGCCTTCACTGGATTAACCGCATGACCTGGAGAACAGGCCCAGCCCTATAGGGACCCTGGCCGGCATGGCTCAGTGGTTGAGCACCCACCTATGAACCAGGAGCCGCAGTTCAGTTCTCAGACAGGGCACATGCCCGGGTTGCAGGCTCGATCCCCAATGGGAGTTGTGCAGGAGGGAAACCAATCGATGTGTTTCTCTCACATTGATGTTTCTATCTGTCTTTCCCTCTCTCTTCCACTCTCCCTAAGAATCAGTGGGAAAAAATGTCCTTGGGCGAGGATTAACAAAAATAAACAATTAAATAAAATTGCTTTATAAAAAAAAAAAAAAGAAACATCAATGAAAGAGAAACATCGATCAGCTGCCTCCTGCACACCCCTTACTGAGGATGTGCCCGCAACCAAGGTACATACCCTTTATCAGAATTGAACCTGGGACCTTTCAGTCCACAGACCAACGCTCTATCCACAGAGCCAAACCAGTTTCGGCGGCTTACATTTTTTAATATATGAAATCTCCCACCTTTTGAAAGGTGGCAGCTAATTCAGTGGAGCTGAAACTGTGAGCCTGCCCTAGCTGGTTTGCTCAATGGTTAGAGCACCAGCCCTTGGACTGAAGGGTCTCGAGTTCAATTCCAGTCAAGGGCATGTACTTCTGTTGCAGGCTTGATCCCCAGCCCTCGGTCAGTCTCTCACATCCATGTTTCTCTCTCTGTCTCTCCCGCTCCCTTCTAAAAATCAGTGGGGGAAATTATCCTCAGGTGAGGATTAACAAATAAAACAACCGTGAGCCAGAGAAAAAAGTGTGCAGCCTCTTGTGTAAGACATTGTAGTCTACACTGAGTAATTCATTCAGCAAATGCCTTTGAGCCCCTGACTAATGCTAAGTGCTGGGATATAGGAGTGAAAAAAGACACTAAACTCCATGCCCTCGTAGAGCTGACAATTTGGTCAGGGAGACAGACAATAAGATAAATAACACAATTATAGGAAGTAACGGCTGAGGAGAAATAAGGCAAGGAAGTATCTGTACAGGGGGGTTTAGACAAGATGATCACAGAACTTCTCACTGAGAAGATGGCATTTGGGCAAAGACTGAAGGAAATGAAACATTGAGTTCTGCATATCTGAGGTAGAGCTTCTAGGCAAAGGGCAGGGCCCATTGCAAAGGCCCTGGAGTGGTTTCTTGGAAGTTCTTAAAGAGATCCAGGCAAAAAGTAGGGTGGATGTATATAGAACTTTGAAACCTTAGTGACAATTCAGGAATGGTGTGTGGGGAGGAGTCTAACTTGTTACTGGGTACCAAAGCCCATGTCTTCGTGCACTTTGGGGATAAGGATCCCCAGATTCTCAAGAATTCCCTATCTCCAACAACCACCATGGGTGTGGGGGGACAGGTGACAGCAACCTGAGAACTTTCACAGAAGTAAACACCCTCCTTCTTGCCTCCCTTCTCTTCCCTGTAGGAATTGGGGTCTGGAATCCTGCCTTCGATGTCACCCCCCATGACCTCATCACTGGAGGCATCATCACAGAGCTGGGTGTCTTTACCCCCAAAGAACTCCAGGCAGCCCTAAGCACCGCCGCTTCCTGAGGGTGGGGACATTAGATGGAGCCCAGAAGTAACCAGCCCGGCTCTCCATCCCCTGCCCCATCCCCTTAGGTTTTATAATAAAATGTATTGAATAGTCTGCCCCAAAGCCGACCCTCCCCTAATTACACTTCTTTCCAGAGCAGGGATAGCGGACAGAGTCTTTGCATGGCAGCTGGAGATAGACTGCCCGAGTTCCTAGCCCAGTTCCACCGCTCTTTCTGCTGTGTGATCTTGGTTGGCCAGGTCACTTCACCTCTCCATGCTGTGGTTTCCTCATTTATAACATTAGGGACAATACCTATGGCCTTAGGTTGCTCTCAGGACGGGAACTAGGGTAACACCTCAGGCACCAAATTTTAAATGGGACACCAAAACCCTCAGTAACCAAGATAAATAATACTTTCATGCAGTATTTTTAAAAATCAAAATTAGCCGAAACTGGTTTGGCTCAATGGATAGAGAGTTGGCCTGCGGACCGAAAGGTCCCAGGTTCGATTCCAGTCAAGGGCATGTACTTTGGTTGCGGGCACATCCCCAGTAGGGGGTGTGCAAGAGGCAGCTGATTGATGATTCTCTCTCATCGATGTTTCTAACTCTCTATCCCTCTCTCTTCCTCTCTGTAAAAAAAAATCAATAAAATATTTTTTTAAATCAAAATTAATGCAAGAAAATTACATGAACAAAATACCAAGATACTAAACAGAATGGAAGCCTACCTAAGCACACCCTAACCTCTACCAGCCCTTGTCCCAATAAAACTTTGTTTACAACATCAGACCACCAATCTACAAGCAGTAGTTTCGCGGTGTGATTTTTTTTTTTTAATATTAAAATGTTATTTGTAAATCTTGAAAACACCATCTTTGATTACAGAATTTTGGGTACCCTTAAATGTTGCACCAGTAAAGTGCCTAACTCACCTCATGTTTGTTTTTGGACCGAACTTTACATACAAAGAGCATAGAACTGTACGTTTCACAAACCATGAGCGCCCAGGGTATATTACCTTATCATTGTAACCTTCCCTTTGAAATGTTTGCCATTGCCCAACGCTGTCCTTTGAAGAACGCTCTGTCAGGACGCCAACTCTTTGCCACGTTGTTTCCCGTGCGCCCTTGCGCGTCCCGGCCCCGTTGCATCCCATCATGCCCTGCGGCTTCCGGTTGCGATTGCTCAGCTCCGCTTCTTCCTGCGCACGTTCCGTCATGGCGCAGGGGCAGCGCAAGTTCCAGGCGCAGAAGCCGGCCAAGAGCAAGGCGGCGGCGGCGGCCTCGGAGCGCAGCCGGGGCCCGAGGAAGGGAGGTGAGGAGAGGCCCGGGGGCTGGGCGAGGTGGGCCCGGGGCGCCCTGGCCTCACGGGAGCGTGTCTTCCCCCCCAGGTCGTGTGATCGCCCCCAAGAAGGCGCGCGTGGTGCAGCAGCGAAAGCTCAAGAAGGTGAGTGGGAGCGTGCGGGGGGTGAGGGATGGAGCGCTTGGGGGTCAGCGCCGTGGAACAGGAATGGCGCCAGCGGATTGAGTCTAGAACCGTCGGGGTTGGAACTGGGACCGCCGGAGGGGCCGGGAATGACTGTCATTTCTAGGGTTCAGCTTACAGAAAATTAAAAGGTTTTGGTAGAGTCAGAGCTGAATTTGAGTTTTATTCCACACTAAGTGATGTGTAACCTTCATCAAATGGTTTAGTATCCCAGAGCCTTGGTTTTCTCAGACCTGGATCCCCAGCAGCATGCTACCTCCCGTCTTCATTTAGGAAGTTTCTGTCCTACCGAATTTCAAAACATTCATCATCCTGGATCTCCCCCTCACCCTCTCCTCCCTGTGCTGCCCTCTTCCCCAATCCCTCATAGCAGCCAGAGGGCGCCTGTGACCACTTAAAAGTCAGATCATGTTGCCTTCTCTGCTCAGAACCCTCGCTCTTCTACCTCGCTGGGGGTATACTGGACCGGGACATCAAGCCCTGTTCACTGTGCCCTGTGTGCCCCGTCTCACTTCCCTGCCATCTCCTCCTGCTCTTCCCCTTGCTCCCTCCAGCCTCACTGGCCCTTTAACTGCTCCTTGTCCCACCTCAGCTTTGCACTAACTGTTTCTTCTGCCCCAGTTCTCCCAAAAATCCACATGGCTCCCTTCCTCTGAGTCAAGTCTGACTGCAAGTGCTGCTTCTGAGCAGCTTGTTCCTGATGGCAGCCCCTCAGCCCCACCCCACTCACTCGCCCTTGTTTTCTTTTCTCCAAACATCTCTTTCCATTTACCACCGTTTAACAGTTTGACGTGATGTGCACTGAGTGTCAGCTCGCTGGAGGTAGAGTTCTCCTGTGCCCTGTTTGCTGTTGTGTCCCTGTGCCCTGGCATGTGGTGCTGGCTGTGGCCATCATGAGTCATTGGGAGTTCATACAGGCAGGGCAAGGGGATGGTTTGGGAAATATGATTAAAATACCAGTTTTGGACCCAGACACACGTGCCTTTACTTGCTCACATCCCTGTCCCAGAGCCCCCGTTCACCATGTGCAAAGCGGAGGGACTGTCCACCTGGAGGCTGAGACCAGAGGGTCCCGTCTCCCCTCATGTGGTTGCAAACCCTAGGCAACTGCCTCCTCACTGCAGGAGCCTCAATTTCCCCTTCAGTGAAATGGGAGTGAACAGAAGTTTGGACGCTGAGATCCAGAAATGAGAAAGGGGTGTGTGTGTGTGTGTGTGTGTGTGTGTAACACCACAAAGAGTGTGAGGCAAAAGCAGGACTAAAACTCGGGTCTCCAGACTCGGGTGCTGTTTCCGGGGGTGTCACTGGTCCAGCCCCAGGTCAGCCCTCCCTCACTCCCTCAGCCTCAGGTCCCAGTCTGATTGCCCCTCGGTTGCCCCTTCAGGACCTGGAGGTCGGGATCCGGAAGAAGATTGAGCATGACGTGGTGATGAAAGCCAGCACCAGCCTGCCCAAGAAGCTGGCGCTGCTGAAGGCCCCCGCCAAGAAGAAGTAGCAGCCTCTTCTCCACCAAGTCACGTTCCTAAGGATGCATCGCAGCCCCTGCCTCCACGCTCAGACCTCTGCAGGGGCCTCCACAGGCAGCGCCGCGGACAGGGCGCCCTTCTCCCCAGAGCCTTGGGTTGCAGCTCAAACTTTGGACTGGGGCGGGGGAGCAGGGGTCTGGCTTTTGAGCAGGTGACCAGCACATCTGTAGTGCACGGGTCAGTTTCCCCGGGGGCCGAGAATTCAGCAGCGGTCTTGAGGAAATGTTCAACGTTCTGTACCATCCCCCCTCAGTTCCCCCTCAGTTCCTTTGTCCACTGGTTTCATCGGAGCAATAAACATCCTTTGTCCTTCCCCTTGCAGCCACACGCTCTGTGAGTGGGCCAGGGCCAGAGGCCAGGCGCACTGACCTGGTCAGCTCAGCAATGTCTTCAGGAGACCAACCACCCACTCAGAGAGGGTGATTGAGCTCCTGCACATCCATCCTGGGAGTTCATGGAGAATCTTCCCTCCAACCCCAGTGACTCACCAACCTCCTTACCTGCCTAGCCAGTGGTGGGCAAACTGCGGCTTGTGAGCAGAGGCTTGCCGCTCTGTTGACTAATGAGTTTGCCGACCACACTGCCTTAGGGAAAAAACACTTTTAAAAAACATTTTAATAATGTACTAATGTCTTTAACCTGAAGTTGAGACTCTGGGTAAGGGTAATGCAGTGGTCAGCAAACTCAGTCAACCCAGCGGCAAACCACGGCTCACCTGTGGCTCCAGAGCTGTAGTTTGCCAACCACTGGCCTAGGTCACTCCTTCTGCCCGGTACAAGCCAGGAGATGTGGGGAGCCATTTTCCCATCTGTAGGACAGGTGTTGATTAAACCAGAATGCACTTATGAACTGCTCAAAGCCACCTCTATCAAAATAAAAGTCAAAATACCGGGTATGTCTATGGCTTGTGCTTTCTAGTGCTTTCTGCACATCACTTCATCCCAAGTTGGGTTGGGTTAACACTCCAGAGCCAGTACCTGAACCCACCACTGACTGAGTCCCAGTGTGGACTCGGCTGACCTTCCCACACCAAGATTTTCTTTTGTTTCATTCTGAGCACCCCTTCCCCAAATCCTCACTCGAGCCTCATAGACTGCCTATAGAGGCAGCGGGGGCTCTGGCCTGGTGACCCCCCTTCTCCCTCCGTTGGGGGTGAGAAGTAGGACTCAGCACAGCGACCAGGCTGGGCCCAAGGAAACTCCAAACTGAAAGTCTCCTTCAATTCAGGCTCTGCTACCACAGCTCAATTTTTTTAGATGTAAAGTATGGTTTTGTGTGTGTGTGTGTGTGTGTGAGAAATTGCTCTCCCGGCTTCTGTGTATGTGTGTGGGGTTAAAACATGAAATTTAAAAGTATACAATTCAGCGGCATTTTGTGCATTCACAGTGTTTTGGGGACCACCCAAAACTTACCACTGAAAAGATGGCCTATCCCCAGTAGTGGTCCCTGCCTGTTCCTGCCTTCCCAGTCCCTGGCAGCCACTAATTTGCATTCTGTCTTCTAGGTGCGAATAATTTTGTTTATAATTTTTTATGTTTTTGTTAGATGAAGAAAGGAATTATTTCTGTAAAGAAAAAATTTGTTTTTGTTTTTTAATTCTCACCTGAGGATATTTTCCCCTTGATTTTTAGAGAGCGTGGAGGAGGGAGAAATATCGATGTGAAAGAAGCACATCAGTTGATTGCCTCCTGCAAGCGCCCTAACTAGGGCCCGGACTGGGGAGAAGCCTGCAACCGAGGTATGTGCCCTTGACTGGAATCGGACCCGGGACCCTTTGGTCCACAGGCTGACGCTCTATCCACTGAGCCAACCTGCCAGGGCCTTCAAAGGACATTTTGCAGGTTCAGTGACTATACAACACACCCCCAGCTGTCTGATTCACAGCATTAGCCTTTTCTTTGGGAGATTTTACAGCTCTAAATTGTAAGCAGCTGATAGCGATTGCAAAACACTCTTATCTGAAGACTTGCAAATGCCAGGCCTTCCAACAGAGGTTCCATTGACAGTCCTCCCCAGTGGTAAAATCGGTTTGCCTCCATATGTATAACATCTGCCTGGATCCCACGTGACTTCAATAAAATGTTAGCACAGGTTCATTTTTATGTCTGAGTAGGTTTCACCTCCTGAAAATGAACTGTTCTCTGGAATCTCCAGAGATCAATGGCTGGGACAGGATGACTTTGGGCAAAGAATGTCATTCAGGTGTGACAGGTATGGGGTCTGGAATGTCAACCCACTTGTTCCCCCGTTACCCCACCCTCAGACTCCCCTAACAGGCACATTTTTCACTGCAGCCACTGCCCTGCCTGACTTCCTTCCATCCTTTCACTGGCCCACAAACCTCCTATTAATGCCGGAGCCAAGAGCCCCCGACTTTGGAAAAATCCCACACCTTTCATTCCGTGCCAATTTCTGCCACTTCCTGTCTATGACCAAGTCCCTTCGCCTCTCCGAGCCTCAGTTTCCCCATCTGTTAAATGGGATCCTGACACCCCTCCCTCAGAATGGAGAATTCAGGACCCTTAAGGCCATGGGACTTGCAGGTGTGATTTTTAGGTGCCCTTGTGTCCCAAGTCCCACCTCTAGGCCTGTCCCTCAGGGCCTCTTCCCCAGACACAGGGCAACCATTACATGTGGCTTTTCAGACACAATTATTCCTCCCCAAGACTTTCCCTTCCCTCCCTCCTCTTTCCCCCTCTGCCCGGATGACCATTTTTCCTGGCAGGGCCCTCACACTTTGCCCATGAACTGTGTTCCAAAAGGAAAAGAAAGAAAAAAATGTAAGAAGCAAATCTTGCCAGCGGGGCAGGCCAGAGGGGCTGTGGGGACCAGGAAGCGAAACTGCCCTGGCTGGTTTCCTGCCTGAGTCAACGGGCACGGGGGTGACGGGGGCCTGGCAAAGGGAGCGATCCTCAGAAAATTAGGGTGGGGGTGGCCACAGCGAGGGACTTTGTTCTCCCTCATCTGAGCCTCCAGGGTCGCCCCATTTCCCGTGAGTCCTGAGGACACGTGGGTTTGGGGTCAGGAGCTGTGGATGCCTAGACAGTGAGCTCACAGCCGGCTGGGGAAATAAAAGTGGCTTCTATTTCACTGAAACCCCAGCTCGCTGGCTGCACTGGGAAAGGGACCACGAGGGCAGCTGGAACCCCTTCCCAGCTTCTTCCCTAAGAGGGCAGCCTTGAAATGGGCCTAGTGACTTCCTCCTGGGGGCACCCTCATCTTCCCAAGGGCCTTTCTGACCTCACACGTTCTCCTAGGATCACTTGAAGAAGAAGAAGAATAAAGTGGCCTTGAACAACCTCCTGACCTCTCTGGGCCTCATTCCCCTTATCTGTAAAATCAGAATAGAGTCTTGGTCTAAGCCAAACTCAGTGCACTTGATCCTAGCCAAGGTGACAGGATCAGCTCACCCTCCCAGGCTTCCATCCTGGTCCTGCCCTTTCTGCTGAGGGCGTGGGGCAGGTGACTGATCTTTCTGTGCCTCCGTTTGGTCACTCAGAAGATGGGAATGATGACAAATCAGTATCTGTTGTTAGAGAATAAAATAAAACATCTTTACTCTGCCTTGGCTGGTTTGGCTCAGTGGATAGAGCATCAGCCTGTGGACTCAAGGGTCCTGGGTTCGGTTCCTGTAGGGGCATGTGCCCTGGTTGCGGGCATATCCCTGGTGGGAGGTGTGCAGGAGGCAGCTTATAGATGTTTCTCTCTCATCAGTGTTTCTGACTCTCTGTTCCTCTCCCTTCCTCTCTAAAAAAATCAATAAAATATATATATATTTTTTTTTAAATCTTTACTCTAACAGATTCTTTTTAAAAATATATATTTTATTGATTTTTTATAGAGAGGAAAAGAGAGGGACAGAGAGTTAGAAACATCGATGAGACAGAATCATCAATTAGCTGCTTCTTGCACACCCCCCACTGGGAATGTGCCCGCAACCAAGGTACATGCCCTTGACCGGAATCGAACCTGGGACCCTTCAGTCCACAGGCCAACGCTCTGTCCACTGAGCCAAACCGGTTCCAGCTATAATAACAGATTCTCAGTGCCTCCCAAACATCCTCTCTTCCACTGGCAGGAAGTGACTTCTCCGATTTAGCATCCAGGGATGCCCACCAAAGCATTCTCAGTGAGAGGGACACGGTCCATCCAGATGCTGAAGGGGTGACCAGGAAAAGCTGGGCCTGGGTCTTGTTTTCCACCTGAAACACACTTTGTGGAAGTTTCTCCCTTCCTCTCTCCTACCCCAGTTATTACTTCCCCACGGGTCTCTTTTTCAAATTCTTTGCAAGAAAATCCATTCAGTCTAGGTTTTCCCATTCTGGCTGAGCTCAGGCCAGGACTCCAACTCTCCGAGCCTCTGTTTCTCCGTCTGAGAAACAGAGACAACTATCCCCAGGTGTAGCTCTCTAGGAAGGCTTAAATGTGGTAACACACCTGAATAGCTGGAGCAGTGTCAGCCACTATTATTATTAGTCAAGATGTTTTTCTGTGTTTTTTTCAGTCCATTATTATTGTTTCTGTTGTCATTATAGTGGGCTATGGTTTCTCAAGGCCACAGTTATCAAAAAGAAATTACAATGCAGGCTGCATGTGTAGCTTTAAATGTCCTGATACCACCTAGAATGGAACAGAATAGCATGGGATGGGATGGGATGGGATGGGATGGGATGGGATGGGATGAAATAAAATGGAAAAATAAAATAAAATTAGACAGGTAGAATTAATTTTAATGTTTTTTTAATATGTTTTTATTGATTTTAGAGGGGAAGGGAGAGGGAGAGAGACGAAAACATCAATGATTAGAGAGAATCAACTATTTAGCCACCTCCTGCACATCCCCCACTGGAGACCAAGCCCACAACCCAGGCATGTGTCCTTGACCAGAATCAAACCTGGGACCTTTTAGTCTGCAGGCCAATTTTTCATCCACTGAACCAAACAGGTTAGGGCTTAATAATGTATTTATTTAACCCATATTTATATAAAATATCATTTTTTTAAATGTTTTTTACTGATTTCAGAGAAAGAGGGAGAGAGAGAAACATCAATGATGAAAGAGAACATTGATCGGCTGCCTTCTACACATGCCTGCAATCTGGGCATATGCCCCGACTGGGAATCAAACTATGACCTCCTGCTCCATAGGGCGACACTCAACTACTGAGCCAACCATAAATCATTTTATTATTTTAACATCTAATCAATATAAAAAGTTGTTAATGAGAACTTTAACCTTTCTCTCTCTCTCTCTCTCTCTCTCTCTCTCTCTCTCTCACACACACACACACACACACACACACACACACACCCCGTCAGTCTTCAAAACACACTCTGTGGCCGAAACCGGTTTGGCTCAGTGGATAGAGCGTTGGCCTGTGGACTGAAGGGTACCGGGTTTGATTCTGGTCAAGAGTATGTACCCTGTTTCCCCGAAAATAAGACAGTGTCTTATATTAATTTTTGCTCCCAAAGATGCACTAGGTCTTATTTTCAGGGGATGTCTTATTTTTCCATGAAGAAGAATACGGCACACATTTATTGTTAAATGAAAATAAAGGAAATTTATTACCTATATACGGTACAGTAGTTGTCAACACAAACCAGACAAACTGTGAATCCTACAGTATCAAGAATTTACTCATTTATTCAATGACAATCATGTCATCATCTTCTGGAACATCATCGTAACAATCCAGTTCCTGAATTTTATGGTGAATTTCTTGTGACTCCATTTCTTTCAGAATCAGTGGACCAAATCTCTCATATTTAGCAATAGCACTGTCTTTAAATGAGTACTTCTTGTCAAGGTAGCCTGTTCACAGTGCATTTGCAATGCAACTGTCAGTGATTTTCTCCCATGAATTCTTCACCCAAGTCACAACTTCTTGCAGTTTAGGTTTCACAAAGTTTCCACGCTGATTTCTCTCCATTCTATTTTCAATGTAGTCATTAATTTCCATGCGCAAATTGTCTTTGAATGGCTTGTTTATTGCAATATCAAGAGTCTAGAGATAGGCCTTATTTTTGGGGGGATGCCTTATATTTCACTCAGAAGGAAACATGTAAGTAGGTCTTATTTTCGGAGGATGTTTTGTTTCTGGGGAAACATGGTACCTTGGTTTCAGGCACATCCCCAGTATGGGGTGTGCAAGAGGCAGCTGATCAGTATTTCTCTCTCATCGATGTTGCTAACTCTATCCCTCTCCCTTTCTCTCTGTAAAAAAAAAATCGATAAAATATATTTTTTAAAAAACAAAACAAAAAACAAAAAAAAACAGCCAAAACCTGTTTGGCTCAGTGGCTAGAGCATCAGTCTGCGGATTGGAAGGTCCCAGGTTCAATTCTGGTCAAGGGCAAGTACACTGGTTGCGGGCACATCCCCAGTAGGGGGCGTGCAGGAGGCAACTGGTCAATGTTTCTCTCTCATCGATGTTTCTAGCTCTCTCTCTCCCTTCCTCTCTGAAAAATCAATAAAATATATTTTTAAAAATAAAACAAAAAAACTACTCTGTATTTTACAACACAGCCCAATTTACGCCAGCTCCATTTCAATGACTCAAAGGCCACTTGTAGCCCATGGTGACCATATGCAACAGTGCAGGTGAGAGGGAGTTGACTGGGTTGGGAACTGGCCAGAAAGTTGCCACGGTGAAACTGGAAATTCCTGGAAGGTAAAAGCCAGTGTTTCCATATGAGGAGGGGCCAGCTTCGGTTTTTCCTGTTCTGTAGATCATTTCAACAGAACAGGAGCAAAGCATGAGTGGCTCAGGGTTCACCAGAGGAGTTACAGACTTAGTGACTGCTGGGTGCTTAGTGCTGTTCAGGTACTGGTTTGTAAAGCAATGCACCAGTTAGCTTCTTGGGGAAACAGAAATTAAACTGCTGAACTAAAGAAATGTGCTGATCCTGGAGAGAGGTGTGGCAAAGGAAAAATGCAGGATTCTCTAAGGACAAGGGGTCGGAGGTGGATAAAGAACAAAGATGTGGCCTGGAAAATCTGGGTCCGGAAAAATAAACACATGTGGTCGTATTTGACATGTATTTCGTCAAACCTTACGAAATTGCCATTTGAATAGGTCATAAATGGTCGAACATCAACAATTTCATGACACAATGACATATTTAGGGCATAAAATGGATTGGGTCCTAGCTTAGGGCTCAAGGATGGGCTTGAATGGGGATCTATTTCTAGAGCGGAGGTCCGCAGCCCCCAAGAGCACTACTAAGGGGCCCGTCATCTCCCCTCCCTCCCCCAAACCCCCCAACCCCCCAAGCTATCAAAACGGCCCAGCGCCCAGGGTCTGAGAGTTTCTCGCATCACAGACTAGAGGAAAAGGGGCTGAGCTGCTGCGCGGGGATCCCGCCGCTCCGTCTCGCTCCCCGGCCGAGCCGTGTTGATTGTCCCTCGCGGCGCCCGGAAGCGACCCTCCGTAAACAAAGCCGTATGTGGGCGCAGCTCCAGCTGCCCGGGGCGCGCTGTCCAGCCCGAGGGGGGCGGGGGAGGAATGTTGTGAATGAACCCAAGGCCCGCCCCGAAACTCGCACAAGGCCAGCGCCGCGGAAGTCCTCCCACTCTGATTGGCCTCCGGCGCTCCCTGATTGACAGTGCCTCTCGCTGAGCATTCTTACTGGGCCTCTCCGTCAAGACAGGCGGCGCAAAGAACGAATCAACAGCGGGGACTTGGAGTTGGGTCTGGCCGGGCAGCCAATAGCAGAGGAGGGTCTCAGAGGCCGACGGGGGGGCCAATTGGGAAGGGCGGCGGGGGCGGGACGAGGCGGAGGATAAAGCGGCGGCCGAAGCTGCTTCATTGTTGTGAAGAGTCTTAAAGGGGCCGCATCGGCCGGCCGGCCCGGCGCGCTGCGGGGGTGGGAGTAGCGGGGGTCCGGGTGCGGCCCTGCGCGGAGGAAGGTCTGGAAGGCGGATAGGAGTCGCGGGAGCCGGCGAAGCGGAGCGGGCATCTGACCGACCCCCCTCCACAGGCCCGGCCCCGGCCCCGGCCGATGGACCCCCCCGCGGCCAAGCGGAGTCGGAGCTGCCCCGCGGGACCGAAGGAGCGCGATGCCGGGGCCGGGGCCGTGCGCGGCCGGGGCCGGCCCGAGGCGCTGCTGGACCTCAGCGCCAAGCGAGTAGCCGAGAGCTGGGCCTTCGAGCAGGTGACCGAGAGGGGCGGGGGAGGGACGCACCCCCAGCCCCCTTCCCGGGAGTCCTCCTCCCCCTGCCCAGCCCCCAGTTTCGATACCTGCCCTGGTGGGAGAGAAATCTCCCAGATCCTTAACCCTGCCCGGAGGCACCCCTTATCTTCCCATTTCACTCCTTCCGACCTCACGACCCACTCTCATCCCTTCCCCGCCAGCCCTGCCCTCCAGCCCAAAAGACCCAGGGATACCCCCAGCGCCCCAGATCCCAACACTTGACACTTCCTTCTCCTCCCCATGGCCCCCTCACAACCCTGGGTACCCCTTTCTCCCCATCTCATCCTCATCCCCCATTAGAGCGCCCCATTCAGTCCTCACTCCTCTCTAGCTCCTACAAGTTGCCCCCATTGGGGACCGCCCCCCCCCAGAACACAGCTCCTAGAGACCCACAATCCCCTATTCCAGAACTCTGCCCTATACCCCCAGCAGAGGGCATATCTCAGCCGGGGACACCCCTTTATGCTCCTCCTGGTCCCATGCCCAGTCTTTCTGGGATCACTTCCTACCTGGGGCTGCTGGGTCTCTCCTGAGGGGCTGCAGGGATTTCTCAAGACCCCAACTATTCACCCTTCTCTTCGCTACCCCCACCCCCACCCCCTCCATCCCAGTCTTTCCCGAGGTAGGCAGCAGGGCCGGGGTCTGTGTTGTGATGGTACCTGAACAGGTGCACCTGGAACCCCGCCTCTCTGGCTTCTGGGTGGGGATTCTGACGGGATGCCCAGGGCTGGAGCCCTGGATGTCCCCTTTTCCAGCCTCAGTGTGGGTGCCCCAGGAGCTGGAGATGTGTGGCCCGGACCTGACCAAGCCTGATGAGCTCCCACAGGTTCTGCCTGGCTGTGAGAGGCCATTCTTTGCCCCTGGCCTCTCCAGAGCTAGGAAGCCTGCTGGGACGGATGGGTCTGGGCCGAGAGTGGATGGAGCATGCTCTGATTCATGGCCTGGAAAATCCCTCCTTAGTCATCCACCAACTGTCCCTGGGGCCTGGGCCAGTCACCGGCCCTCCCACTTCCTCCCTGAAACCCAGATTCGGGGGCTGTGGAGGGCTCCTGCCTCTTCGTTGTGCGTGAGACGCCCACAATAATCTTAAAACCACATCTGGGACTCCGTGTACCTGCCCTGGCCAGGCTGTTCACTAGGGGAAAGCCCTTGCCCCATAGAAGCTCATAGAATCTTCTGCAACCGTTGGGAGTTGTGGTTTTCCCTTCCCACTCGGTGGAAACTGGGGCACAGAGAGGTTGAGAAACTTGCCCACGGTCATCCAGCCCGTGAGCAGCAAGCCTGGATGGGAACACAAGCTCGTCCAGCTCAGTTCATTGCCCGGAGCCCACGGGGGCGGCTGGGGCACCCCTCCCTTTTTGGGGGCCCTGGGAGCTGGGGACGGAGTCTGTGTTGGGTCCTGGAGCTCGCCGGCTCTGGGACACTGAGCGAGTGAATTCACTCACTTACAGCCTAAGGTTCCCCAGGCGGTAAATGGGATTATTGTAGTATTGCTGGGATTTTGCTGTGAGAATGAAGGGAAATTGCGTACGTAGAGCATTCAGGATAGCCTAGGCTGAGAAAATATAGCCCTGGTCACTAGTCTTATAACTTTTAGCTCGCTCGCTCTCTCTCTCTCCTGCCCTCTCAAAGCCTAGGTCCTGCCTTACATCAGGACCCTGGGACCTGATACCCAGGAGGAAAGCAGCAGAAAGTTCTCGAACACTCACTATGGTGTTATTATAAGCAATTTAGGTAGATTAATGCATATTTAGTCCTCAAGATTCCCCAGAGGCCAGTGCTGTGAACAGCCCCATCACACTTGAGAAACCTGAAGCTCAGAGAGGCAGAGCGACCTGCCCAAGGTCATACAGCTTCGAAGCGGCAAAGCCAGGGCTCAAGCTGAGGTTTCTAACACCCCCCCCCCCGCCCCCCGCCCTTCCTTCAGGTCGAGGAGCGTTTCTCCCGGGTGCCGGAGCCGGTCCAGAAGCGCATTGTGTTCTGGTCGTTTCCACGCAGCGAACGGGAGATATGCATGTACTCCTCGCTGGGCTACCAGCCTCCGGAGGGCGAGCACGACACGCGGGTGCCCTTCACCCGAGGGCTGCACCTGCTGCAGAGCGGGGCCGTGGACCGCGTGCTCCAAGTGGGTAAGCACCCTCCCCGGGGGCCGGCCCGGGAGGCTCCGCGTCTCTGGGGAAGGTTGGACCGAATATCGTGAACGAAGAGCGGAATCTGCCGAGACCTCAGAGACCTCAGGCCGAGGGCTAAGATAAAGGGTCTGGAGAAGGGGTGTGCGCCCGCGGCCTGAGGTCTCGGCAGATTAGGCGGAGGGTGGGGAAGCGTTGCTGAGGTTGGGAGGAGGCCGAAGCATCTAAGCTGGAAATGGGAGGAGAGCCCCAGCGACGTGTTCGGCCTGAGGTCAATCGGCAACACCGGGCCTCAGGCAGAGAACTCTGGTGGGGGCTGGGATCACACAAGGCGGTGGTTGAAGTTCAGGATCAGCTGTGAGGGCTGGTCTTGCCCCTCAGGTGTTGGGGCCGGGGGGGGGGGGGGGGGGGGGGCGGAGGTTCAAAGCCAGAGGGGAAAGATGATTGTAGGCCTCAGGCAGCGGTGCTCAGAAGGGAACCCGGAGAGCCAGAAGGCAGCCGAGTTCGGGAACACATGGGGCAAGTCACGTCTCCCGGCTGGAGGCAGGGGCTGGCCACGATGACCCTCCCTAAACCCTGGCCCCCTCGCCTGGACACGGCCCCGCGGTATGAGGAAGCAGCCGTTTCCCCACATGACGCAGCCGGGGCCGGCTGGGGCCTGAGCTGCCCAACCAGTCTGATGAGCCTGGCATCTGGGCTCCCCAGGGGCCAGGGAGGGGCAGGGGGTGATGGGGTGACCCGGCCTGCCACATCTGCCCCTCACCCCCAAGTGATAGGCCTTTGGCATCGTCCCAGGAAGTTATAGGGTGTCTGTATCCCTGATAGCCCAAGACTGGGAAAGCCATCTCTGATATCCTCTGTTTAGTAATATGTAGACGTGCGTTTGTGTAGGATTTGCTGCATGCCAACAGTGTTCTTCTGAGCCCTTGCTAACTATCGTGTTTCTCCAAAACTAAGACATCCTCCGAAAATAAGACCTAGCGCAACTTTGGGAGAAAAAATTAATATAAGGCACTGTCTTATTTTCGGGGAAACAGGGTAAGTAACTCATGTAATTCTCATGACAACCCTGGAGGAGGAAGTTACTGTTTGTTCTCATTTGACAGATGAGGAAACTGAGGCACAGAGAGGTTCAGTGACGTGCTCCAGGTTCCCGAGCCGGCACTTGCCCCCGGGTCTTGCTGTGCGCCGAGGATGCGCACCCCCAGCCTCCGGGGCGACCCGTGGTGACGGTCGGGTGTTTGTCTTAGGGTTCCACCTGAGCGGTAACATCCGGGAGGCCGGAGGCCCCGGCGAGCCCGAGCACCTCTACCACGTGTCCATCAGCTTTGACCGCTGCAAGATCACGTCCGTGAGCTGCGGCTGTGACAATCGCGACCTGTTCTACTGTGCCCACGTGGTGGCCCTGTCTCTGTACCGCATCCGGCACGCCCACCAGGTGGAGCTGCGGCTCCCCATCTCCGAGACGCTGTCCCAGATGAACCGGGACCAGCTGCAGAAGTTCGTGCAGTACCTCATCAGCGCCCACCACACCGAGGTGCTGCCCACCGCCCAGCGCCTGGCCGACGAGATCCTCCTCCTGGGCTCCGAGATCAACCTGGTGCACGGTGAGGGCGCCTTGGAGTCTGATCGGGACGCTGCGGCATCAGCTCACAGCCACCCCGCTCGCCGTGACAGACAGTTGTCTCAGAATCCTCAGGTCCCCTTAACCCAGGAGCAGGTGTGGAGGGAGTACCACTGCCTGAGGTCCAGGGCTCCCACCTGTTAGGAGGAAGATTCTGGATTTGATGAATGGCCAGATGAATGGCTGACATCAGCCAATTCAGAGGAGGAGAGTTGAGGGGACAAATGGGAGGCGGGGCCCCAGGTCACAGGCGTCGGCCTGAGTGGGTGGGCGAAGGACATGAGGGTATGGAGGTGCCGGGTGTGGGTGCTGGTGGGAGACAGATAAGGAGGTGTCATGAGCTCTGGGGGGGGGGGGGGTTTGAGGCTCCAAGGGACTGTGTTGTCTGACCATCATGGTGGGGAGAAGGGAGCAGGATAAACGGGAGATAAATGGATGGTGAGTAGGTGGAGACGTGGACAGATACTTGAGGGTGGGGGTGGGTGGATGCAGAAGGTGTTGATGATGAGCTGATGGTGTGGAAAAGCAGGTGGAGTGGGTGAGTGGATGGGTGATTAATCAGGATGGTAGGTGAATGGGGAACTGGTGGTAATTGGAGGTGGGGTGGGGTGGGGATGGGCTTTGGTTGAGGGGGTTGAGGTACCCTGACGGTGGTGGGCAGATGTGCTTGGTGGAATATTGGAAGGACCAATGGGTGCCTGGATTGGGGGTGAGTTAATGGATGTATGGAAAGAATGTTCATGTGTGTGGACTGATGTGATGGATGGATCAAGTGGGTGTAGGACAGATAGATGGACTAACCAGGTGGTGGTTGTTTGGGGGGATACATGTGAATGGATGGTTTGATGGAAGAAGAATAGATAGATGGGGTTCATTGGATGGGTGAATAGTGCGTGGATCAATAGATGAATTAGTCAGTGGATATTTTTGAATGTTTGGTACAGATTAGCTGGAAAGACACATATGGGTAGGTACCTGGATGGGTGGGCCAATGGGATAGGTATAGATAGGTGAGCAGGTGGAAGGATGGGTAAGGTGGATCCCTGACTAATGGGGTGGGTAGGTATGCTAAGGGTTATGGGTATATGGATGCATAGATGCATAGTATGACTGGGGGTGAGGTTGCCAGGTGAGTGGTTTAGACGTGGATGGGTGGATGATGCTTGGGTAGCATGGGTGGATGAGTAGAAGGGCAGGTGATGTTTCAGGTGGGTGGACCATCATCCCACCTGAATGGGTGAATGGGTGGGAGGTGTTTTGGGTAAGATGGATGATCAGTAAATGGATGGATAAGCTAGAGATGTTTTAAGCAAGATGGATGGATGGATGGATGGATAGACAGGTAGCATTTTAGGTGGGATGGATGGATGGGCAGATTAGTAGGTTTTTTCAGTTAAGATGGATGAATAAGTAAATGAATGAATGAGCAAATGATGTTTGGGAGGAATGGATGGATGGATGGCACTTTAGATGGGATGGTCAGACAGATTGATGGATGGCTGGGTGGTTTTTCAGGTGGGATGGGTAGGATGGTTGGAGGACTGAGTGATGGCAGGGGCCCCCTCTCCCCAACCCAAACTTCAGCTTTCCTTCCCACCCCACAGGTGCCCCTGACCCCACGGCGGGTGCAAGCATTGAGGATGCCAACTGCTGGCATCTGGATGAGGAGCAGATCCAGGAGCAGGTGAAGCAGCTGCTATCCAACGGTGGCTACTACGGCGCCAGCCAGCAGCTGCGCTCCATGTTCTGCAAGGTGCCGTGTGGGCGTGGCGTGCACGGCGGGAAGACACGGGTGCCGGCACCCCACCCCGCCTCACCAGCCCGTCCCCACGCAGATTCGAGAAATGCTGCGGATGCGGGACTCCAACGGGGCGCGCATGCTGATCCTCATGACGGAGCAGTTTCTGCAGGACCCGCGCCTGGCCCTGTGGCGGCAGCAGGGCGCCGGCATGACGGACAAGTGCCGGCAGCTGTGGGACGAGCTGGGTAAGACCCGGCCCCGGTGGACATGGGCGTTAGAGCTTGCCCTCCCCTGAGATTGAGGCCTGGCCCCTGAGTCCTTCCTCTTCGTCCGCACCTACCAGGCACTCACTGTACCGATGGCTGGAGCTGCAGCGAGAAGCAGGTTAAATACCTGCCCTCACGAAGCTGGCACCCTGTAGGGGAGACGGATGAGAAAAGACTGCAAACCCTTAGGCCAAGGGTTGGCCAGATAGTCCATAGTTTCAGCTTTTTGGGCCATTGGCTCTCTGTAGTGGCTCCTCCGTTTTGCCTGTCGTATTGGAAAAGCAACCGCAAACAGACGTAACTGAATGGGCGTGGCAGAATTCCCATAAGACTGTATTTACAGACACTGTTTATTTGAATGTCCCAAGCCACAAAATATCCTTTGGATTTCCCCCATCACCACCCTTAAAAACTGTAAGAACAGGTCTAATCTCGCAGGCTGTTGAAAAGCAGGCGGCGGGTGGATTTTCTCCAGGGGCAGTCATTGGCTGACCCCTGTGATGGATGGCGGTAAGCACAGGGGAGGAGAGGGACAGTGAGAGACATCCCCAGGCCTGGGTTTGAATCCTTCCGACTTCCTAGCTGTGTGACCTTGAGCCAGTGACTCTACCTCTCTGTGCCTCAGTGTTCTTACAAAAGTGTAAAGTGAAGAGACCATTAGTTGTAATCTCAGAGGCCCAGGGTGAGGGTGAAGCAGAGAGTGGTGCACAGCACACAATAGGCAGTCCGTCAATGTTGCCGCTACTGTTGACATGGATGCTGAACCTCCCCATTCTCTGCCCTCCCCAGGGGCCCTGTGGGTGTGTGTGGTCCTGAGCCCCCACAGTAAACCGGAAGAGCGAGCGAGCTGGCTCCAGCTGCTGGGCAAGTGGGACAAGTTGGACGTGTGCCCGCTGGAAGAGGGCAACTTCTCTTTCAACGGTCCGAGCCTACAACCCGCCACGGCCCTCAACCCAGGTAGGAGAAGGGTCCCTGCCATTACCCGAAACCGCGAGCTCTGCAGTGCCCTACCCCCATGATGCCCTGGGGGAGCAGGAGGAGGCCCAGCCCTTGCCTGCCCTGCCCTCCAGGAGGGAGGGAGGGAGCGCCCAGGCGAGGCAGTGGGTAGCCCAAGGGCAGTGCGGTGCAATGCTTAAGACGCCCGTAGTTCTTTTTTTCCCCTTTTCTTTTTAATATGTTTTATTGATATTTTTACAGAGAGGAAGGAAGAGGGATAGAGAGTTAGAAACATCGAGGAGAGAGAAACATCGATCAGCTGCCCTTGACCGGAATCAAACCTGGGACCCTTCAGTCCACAGGCCGATGCTCTATCCACTGAGCCAAACCAGTTAGGGCAAGACACCTGTAATTCTGGCTCTTCTCCTAATTTAGGCTCCTCCTGGCAATGGAGGTGGGCGTGGGGGGGACAGAGGAAAAAGCAAAGATATATATATATATATATATATATATATATATATATATACACACACATACATATATATATTTTTAAAAAAAAGGCAGAGGCAGATGGTCAATGTTTCTCTCTCATCGATGTTTCTAGCTCTCTATCCCTCTCCTCCTCTCTGTAAAAAAATCAATAAAATATATATATTTTTTAAAAGGCAGAAATGAAAGGAAAGAGACAGGAGGACAGAGAGGAAGGGGGCATGGGGAGAGATATTAAGAGGGAAAAAGGGGGAAAATCCAAAGGATATTAGGATGTGAGGAGTAGAGAGATTGACAGCAAGACAGTTATCAACCTCAGTGTCCAACACACACACACACACACACACACACACGTGCCCCTTTGAAAGGCTGCCGTAGGATTTGAGGGGCACCCAGAGTGTAGCCCTGAGTGGCACTCAGCGTGGGGGACTCTAGGCCGTGCTGGACCCCTCTCCACAGGCCCGGAGGAGGAGGAGGCGGCGGCGGCAGGTTCCCGGCACACCGTGTTTGGCCGAGCCCTGCAGGCTGGGTCCCTGCACTGGAGTGACCCCCATCTTCAGAGGATCCTGGCCAGTGACTGCTATGGCCCCAGCCTCACAGGCCATGGGGGCAGCGACAAGGCAACCTTTGACCCCCAGGGCCGCGCCCTCTGGCTGGGGGAGCCGTTCCCCACTGCTTGTGCCCGGGTGGACACCCTGCGTGCCCACGGGTACCCCCGCCAGGCCCTGCGGCTCGCGGGAGCCATCGTCAACACCCTCCGGCTACAGCGGCGGCACCAGCTCGAGAGCTACAAGCAGCAGAAAAAAGGTGGGCACCCCCCTTACCATGAGGTCCTGGGGCTGTAGGCACAGATGCCAACTCCTGGAGGCTGTGGCAAACCCAGGGGTCTCTGTCTGTTTTTGTTTTTAATACATTTTATTGATTTTTTTACAGAGGGGAAGAGAGAGGGATAGAGAGTTAGAAACATCGATGAGAGAAAATCATCGACCAGCTGCCTCCTGCACACCCCCCACTGGGGATGTGCCCGCAACCAAGGTACATGCCCTTGATTGGAATTGAACCTGGGACCTTTCAGTCCGCAGGCCGACCCTCTATCCACTGAGCCAAACCGGTTTCGGCCCCCAGGGGGTCTTTGGGTACCACTTAAGGTGACCAGACGTCGCTCTTTGGGCGGGACAGTCCTGATTTTTAACAATTCGTCCTGCGGCGTTTTTAAAAAGTCCCGATTTTTGAAAAAACACCGCAGGACGCAGGACAAATTGTTAAAAATCGGGACATCTGGTCACCTTAAGGTCCCACTGAGAAATCAAAACCACTCTAGGTACCTTGAGCATACAGGAATTCAATGCAGGGGGTGGAGGGCTCACAGAGCCACTGGCGGGGAAGCCGCCCCTGAGTTTGAGAACTTGAACTTCAGAAGCGCAGTGGGCGCCGCAGCCTGCAGCCTCCACGGGGGCAGTTCCCGAGAGAACACCCAGAAGCTGCTGGCTGGGCCCGAGAGAGGGGGTGGGAATGACTCTGGATGGAAGTTTTAGAAAGTGCTCAGTTCCTCCAGGTGTCCTGCCGGCCTGGGAGTGGCTGTGGGACTGGAAGCCAGAGGCTGTAGAGGTGACAGCTGCTGCAGAGCCCGAGGGGCAGAGAAGACGACCGACCGCGGGGTGGGCAGACGGCGGGAGGCTGGTTTGGGGGTTCAGAGAGAGAAGGGCCCCCCCCGGGGGGCTAAAGAAGGTGGGTGGGCACTGAGCCCCACTTCCGGTCCGCAGAGCTGCTACAGAAAGGCTCCACCTGCATCACCAACACGGAAGGATGGGTGGGGCACCCCCTGGACCCCGTCGGCTGCCTCTGCAGGGCGCTCCTGGAGGCCTGTCGCCTGGAGGAAGAGACCCTTGCCCTTTACCCAGGTACCCACGCTGGGGACCCCTGGAGGAGGGGGGGCAATCCCCACCTCTCTGGTCAACCCCCCTGGCTCAGTACCCCTAGAAAATGAGGTCACACCCTTACCCTTACTGCAACCTCCTCCCCGCCCCCTTCTTCAGTGCAAGGAGCCAACAGGCTTCGCTCCTGCAAGTGCGGCCACTGTAGGCCTGTCCGCTGCTGGGAGGTGGCCCCAGCCCCTGGTCCGTGCTGGGAGCAGTGGGACTCCCCTATACCACGTCCCCTCAGCCTCCATGCCCGGGGTCAAGGGCCATGGGGGCCCCAGGAGAGGGGGCCCCTCCAGCATTTTCAGCGCCGTCTCCCGCAGACTCGGGCCCCGAGAGGCGGAAGGTGGCCTACCAGCACGTGCCTGTGCCCGGGAGCCCCGGGGAGTCCTACCTGGCGCTGGCGCTGGAGGTGGCGCTGCTGGGCCTGGGGCAGCAGCGGGCCCTGCCCGAGGGGCTGTACGCCCAGGACAAGGTGGTGCGCAACGAGGAGCAGCTGCTGGCGCTGCTGGAGGAGGTGGAGCTGGACGAGAGGCTGGTGCAGGTGCTGCGCAAGCAGGCGGGGCTGCTGCTGGACGGTGAGGCCCCGCCCGAGCCTGCTCTTTGGTCTTTTGGTGCTTTCCCTTAACATTTCATGAGAGAGGAGAGTCCTGGCACGTTCTGGCAGCCGGAAACTGCTGGGAGGGGTGAGGACTGGCTCCCCGCCCCCCCTGGAGTCCCTGAGCCAGGTCCCTGATGCCCAGCTGGGCCTCACTGGCTCTGCCCATGGTGCTGCCTTAGGAGGCCCCACCCCCTCATCCTGCCTCTGAGACCTGCCCTCCCAGGGGTGCCCAGGGTTCCCTCTTTTCGAATTTTCCAGGCTTTTCTGTCTCAGCCCAGGGTCCCCATGCCCAGGACCTCTCCCGCCCCTAGTCCCTGCCGCTCTATCCTGGGGTCCGCCCCTCCCCTGCTCCTCCTGGGCCAGGAGGTCTGGGGAGGGGCGGTGGTCAGAGGTGAGCCCACGCCCGGGGCTAAGCTCCGCTCCCCGCAGGGGGTCCCTTCAGCGGCTTCGGAGAGGTGCTGTTCCGGGAGAGTGTGCCCATGCACACCTGTGCCCGCTACCTGTTCACCGCCCTGCTGCCCCACGACCCCGACCTGGCCTACCGCCTGGCGCTGCGAGCCATGAGGTGAGGACAGACAGACGGCGGGGGCCTCTGCCCGGTGGGCCCAGCAGGATGCGGGGGGTGGGGGAGGCCGCTCACATCCCCGTCCTCCTCCCAAAGACACAGCCTTGACATCTCAGCCTGACCTCACGCTGGCATTCCAGGCTTCCCTGTGCTCGGACTATTAATTTTTTCGTGTACTATTTATTTTAAATTTGAGAGACATTCCCTTGGCACAAAGTCAGAGTACTTTTCTAGGCTGCTTTGTCCCAACATACCTAAGCAGTGTTCCCACTTTTCTTTTCTTTTTTATTGATTTCAGAGAAGAAGGGAGAGGGAGAGAGATAGCAACATCAGTGATGTGAGAGAATCATTGATCGGCTGCCTCCTGCATGCCCCCTACTGGGGAACAAGCCTGCCACCCGGGGGGGTGCCCTGGACTGGAATCGAACCTCCAGTCCGCAGGCCAGTGCTAACCTGTGATTGGAAATTGAAAGCCGGTCCTCCGTTTACACCGCCGGCACGTTCTGTAGCTGTGCTTTGCCCCTTGTTTTCACTGCGCGTTGAATCATAAAGGCCTGGTGGTACCACATAACACATGAATCTCTGTGAGGATGATGCATCACAGAAGAACCAGTCAGGACAGACATATATGCTGTTGAACAAAACAACATCACAATGAATTATCCTTTATCATTTTACACGTATACCAGCCGATCCCAGAAGCAGAATTTTGTAAAATTCCTTTCAGGAGACAGAGAATCCCATCATCTCTTCATCAGCCCCATGGCCTTTGGTACATGCATAAAGCATTGTTTATTTAGTCCAACCCCGAGGGATGGACATACACAGCACTGCAGTGAACATCGTGCACACACACCCACCTTCTTGGCGGCCCGGGGCTTTGCTAGGAAGGATGGAGACTCAGCCTTGCCTCACCATGGGCTTGCTTCTTGCTTCCTCCCAGGCTGCCTGTCCTGGAGACAGCACTTCCGGCTGGAGATCCTCACCCCAACCCACTGGACTCCGTCACGAGTAACCGCTTCCCACGCTGGTTCATCCTGGGCCACCTGGAGACTCGCCAGTGCGAGCTGGCCTCCACCATGCTGACGGCTGCCAAGGGTGAGGAGGACGCGCCCTGGTCCCGGGTCCTCCGCCTCTCCCCCCTCCTCTCCTCTGCTCCTTCCTTCCTCTTTCTTGTCTTTTTATCTATTTCCTCTAGTTTTCCTGGAGCACTTTTTAGATGGATCAAGACTGGGGCGGGCGCTAAGGATGCCGTAGTAAACAAAACTGTCCCATGTCCCACGCCGTGGTGTTACATTCTGGTGGGGCCAGACAGACCATAAACCCAGTGAAGAGTATAGCCGTGCCGAAACCGGTTTGGCTCAGTGGTAGAGCATCGGTCTGCGGACTGAAGGGTCCCAGGTTCGATTCCGGTCAGGGGCATGTACATTGGTTGCGGGCGCATCCCCGGTGAGGGGTGTGCAAGAGGCAGCTGGTCAATGTTTCTCTCTCATCGACGTTTCTATATCTCTATCTCTCTCCCTTCCTCTCTGTAAAAAAAAAATCAATAAAATATATTTTTTTAAAGAAAGAGGATAGCTAGGCGCTGAGACGATAACAAGTGCACCATGGAGGATAAAGCACATCCGTATTTCTCTCTGTCCTCCACTCTAAAAAAATCAATGGGAAAATATCCTCAGGTGAGGATTAAAACAAACAAATTAATATTGGTGTAGCTTTTGCCTTGCTAAAGCCTCTACTGGTATGGGCTCTCAGAGGCCTTAGGAGGCAGGTACTGTTCCATTAGTCTTATTCATTGCACAGATGGGGCAGCCAAGGCACCGAGAGGTGGAGTCACTTGCGCAGGGTCACACAGCAAGGCGGGGATTTGAATCCTGGCGCTCCGATTCCAGAATCCATCCTCTCGACCGTTAGGCACCTAGCAGGTTCCTAATGGCCTCTTCCCACTGGAAGTGGAGGAAGGCAGAGGAGAGAAGGGGGTGGCGGTGCTAAGGGTGGTCGGGCTCTTCACAGGTCGTTGCCAGGTTCGTGACCTCCATGCTCACACCTATGCACCTGTGTGGAAGGAACCGCACGAACGGCCTGGTATAACAAGGGTGCCAATGTCCCTCCCCCTGCCCCAGGAGACCCCAAATGGCTGCACACAGTATTGGGCTCCATCCAGCAGAATATCCACTCTCCAGCCTTGCTCTTCAAGCTGGCACAGGACGCCTGCAAGACAGCCACCCCGGCCAGCACACCACCAGACATCACCCTGCTGGGCATTGCGCTGGAGCTGGGCCTGCAGGTGAGGGCCCCCAGGAGGATGGGGGAGGGGGTGCTGCCTGTGGGTGGGTCCAGGATGTGAGTGGCACCCCTGGGGCTTGGCCACAGAAACTGCAGAGTCTATAAATTCTGGGAGGGGGAGAATGAGGTTATCAGTGGGTGGGCCTATGAATTAGAGACTCAGCTACAGAGTCTGAAGGTGAGAATCTACCTCTGAGGGTGTGGCCCCGGAGGAGGAAGAGGAGGGTCATGGAACCTGCTGGTGAGAGGGTGGGCCACAGAGGGAGCCTAGGGGTTCTGGCCTTGGAAATGTGGCCTGGGGCTGGTGTGCTTAAGGTTAAGGCCCATGGGTGGGTGGAGCTGAGGGGGCAGCAAAGCCTGCCAATAAGAAGTAGGCCCTTGCCGAAACGGGTTTGGCTCAGTGGATAGAGCATCAGTCTGCGGACTGAAAGGTCCTGGGTTCAATTCCGGTCGAAACATTGACCTTGGTTGCAGGCACATCCCCAGTAGGGGCGTGCAGGAGGCAGCTGATGGATGTTTCTCTCTCATCGATGTTTCTAGCTCTCTATCCCTCTCCCTTCTTCTTCGTAAAAAAATTAATAAAATATATTTTTGAAGAAAAGAAGGGCCTTTAGGGGAACCCAGCCTAGAAGTCACGGCGTGGCTGTGGCCTGTAGGTGAGGAGCCATGCAGGCTGGGTGAGGCAGAGGTGGGCGGGGCCTCACACGTGACCCAGTGAAATGAGAGGATAAGGAACAGCCTGGGGCGGGCGTGCAGGCTCGGTGGGGTCTTCTCAGGTAGAACCTGAGAGCGAGGGGCCCTCAGGCGCAGAATTAGCCAGAAAACCATTTCCTGAGGGGACTGGAGTCTTTGGGGGACGTGGAGGGGGCAGGGCAAGGGTGGAGCTCTAAGAGGAGACCCCCCAGAAGGCAGAGCCACCAGATAGGACTGGGGATGGGGCCCGAGGGGAGGGGCAAGCAAGGAAGGTGCTTTTGGGGTGAGCGCTGAAGAAGGTGCGACTGTGGAGCAGGTGCTCTGTTGGCGGTTTCAGGGGGGAGTCTGCAGACATGAAGCATGGAACTTTCTGGAGAGAAGGGATGGGTTGGCTTGTCCAGAGTAGGCTGCATGGGGGCCTCCGCATAACAACAACAATAGCAGTAATAGCACTGGCTGACGTTAGCCGAGCACTTTGAGGCAACAGGCACTGTGCAGAGAGCATTACTACATAATTTTGCTTCTCACAACCCTGTGGAGTAGATGAGATTTTCATCCCCACTTTACAGATGAGTAAACTGAGACCAGAGAGGGGAAGCCATTTGCCCAGACTGTATGGCTCCCTGGGTCGGCCCCTCACGTCTGTCTGCCCGGGCCCCTGAGGGTCCCAGCCTTTGCCCCTCAGCAGCCTGACGTTCTGGGTGACCTTCTGTCCCGTTCACACGCTGCACAGGTGATGCGGATGACCCTGAGCACCATGACCTGGCGGCGGCGGGAGATGGTGCGCTGGCTGGTCAGCTGTGCCACGGAGATCGGTGAGCGGCCCCCGGGGATCCGCCACCCCCCTCTTCATGGGGCAGATGGGCACAAGGGAGAAGTAGAGACTTTCCTCTGGATCGAGCCTGCGCTCGGAGCTAAGCCGGGAGGGAATGCCGGGCGGAGGGACTGTGCTGGACAAAAGCCCGGAGGCCGGCCAGGCTAAACGGCCTGGAGAGGGCCATTGGCACCAGAAATGTGTGTGTGTGTGTGTGTGTGTGTGTGTGTGTGTCCCCGTACACGGTCCCAGCCAGGCCTGCTGCGCCCTGTTCCCTTGGGAGGGTACAACAGGGGGTGAGCACGAAGCTAGTATGTCTCCAGCCCTGCTGCGGGGATGGAGATACTGGGGCACACCCGCAGACACACGTCCACCCACCGGCCCCGCCCTGACCGGCGCCGCCGTCTCGCCTCCCCCAGGTCCGCGGGCGCTGATGGACATCATGCAGAACTGGCACTCCCTGTTCACGCCGGTGGAGGCGGCCACGTGGTGGCGGTGACGGGCACCACGCCCGCCACGCTGCTGCGGCTGCGGCTGGACGCGCCCCGGCGGGAGGCGCTGCGGGCCTGCGCCCGCGCCCTGGCCCTGCAGTGCGCCATGAAGGACCCGCAGAACTGCGCCCTGCCCGCGCTCCCGCTGTGCGAGAAGAACCACGCGGCCTTCGAGGCGGGCCTACCAGATCGTGCTGGACGCCGCGGCCGGCGGCCTGGGCCACGCCCACTCTTCACCGTGGCCCGCTACATGGAGCACCGCGGGCTGCCGCTGCAGGCCTACAAGCTGGCCACGCTGGCCCTGGCGCAGCTCAGCATCGCCTTCAACCAGGACAGCCACCCCGCCGTCAACGACGTGCTCTGGGCCTGCTCGCTCAGCCACTCCCTGGGCCGGCACGAGCTCTCCGCCATCGTCCCGCTCATCATCCGCCGCATCCACTGCGCCCCCATGCTCTCCGACATCCTCCGCCGCTGGACCCTCTCGGCGCCCGGCCTGGGGCCCTGGGGGCTCGCCGGGCAGCCAAGCCCTGGGCACGGACAGGGCGCCCCTCTGCCAGCTGCTGGATGCCGCGGTGGCCGCCACATCAACACCAGCCACTCACGCCTCACGCACATCAGCCCGCGGCACTACGGCGACTTCATCGAGTTCCGGGGCAAGGCCCGGGAGACCTTCCTGCTGGCCCCCGACGGGCACCTCCAGTTCACCCAGTTCTTGGAGAACCTCAAAACAGACGTACAAGGGCAAGAAGAAGCTCATGCTGCTGGTGCGGGAGCGATTCGGCTGAGGGGCAGGCGTCTGGTGGGCACAGGGTCTCCCTGGGCGCCTGCTTCTGTGCCACCCGCTCTGCGTCGGGCAACTGGGCCGGAGGG